AAGTCTGAAAATCTTTTCCAGTTATTATACTTAGCTTCCAGTGATCTAACCCCATTGCAGTGTGTGTAAGACACTTGTTTTCATGTACCTGGAAGTGTTAAATGTTGATTGTCTTTGGACAGGGCCCACAACCTCTTCCCTTCTTGAGCGGAGCTGACAAGATTGCCAGTCTCCTGGTAATTAATGCTCCTTTGTTATGCTTTACCCTTTGCAGCACAAATACAGTGGAATTTTTTCCACTTGAATATCTCTAGAGAAGGTATATGAATGAATGTAGTAAAAGAAAGATCAGGTAGGAGGAGATATCTGCTGAACAACTAGTCTTACTTTCTGCTTAAAGGTATGCCAGGTTGCTCGGGGCCGTCTTTTTAGTATCCCCAAAGACTGACTTCAGTCTTCCTGGGTATCCTATTCCTGCACGTAACTCCCCTCACTGTGGAGGATTTTTTTTCCTTTTATTCAACCAAAATTTCTCTTGCTGCAGGTTGTGAGTGTCATCTCTTGTCCTTTGTGCCATGCTGGGAAGAATCTGGCTCTGTCTTTCTTGTAACCCCCTTTAGGTAGTGGAAGGCTGCAGTGAGCCCTGCCCTCAGTCTTCCAGTCCTCCAGAAGAACAAATCCATTTTCCTTAGTGCTTCCACGTATGTCATATGCACAAGGCCTCTGAAATATATTTATGAATGTTTAGAATGAACCTAGCACTTGTCCATAACAGGCTAAAGAAAAGGCTCATTTTACGAGTCTTTCAAAGTATTTCTGCCCCTGTACTTTTGATCTGCAGAGTTTTCTTCAGAGGATATCGTGATGTCATTGGGAATAGGCTGTTAATTTTGCAGGTATGGGTATAACATCTGAAGTCTGGCAAGACTGCTTAATTTTCCTGTGCTTTCCTGTTTGTGCTCTAATTGTTGCATCTGCTCCTTCTCAGGTAATAATAAACTTGTTAACTTATGTGACTTTTGTTGGCAGTATCTGCCATTGCTGCGTTTAATAAGTTCCCTACAAAACTTGAAACACAAGTGCTGTGTTGTTCATCAGGATTGACTTTCCTTTAACGATCAGTTTTGAAAAAGTGATTTGACTTATTGTTGCAGTGCAATGCACAAAGTTTAACTTAGCAGAATATTAATAGAATCCTTTGAAATATGACTGAGGTGCTTAGGTTGAGGGGTACTGGAATATGTTTGCTGAATCACTTCTATTAAAATGGAAGGAAGAACGATTACACTTTAATCCTAGCAGAGAAAAAGGTCATCTTAATTCTCCATGGCAAAAATATTCTTTGCTCAAAATATATGAGTTGCAAAGAAAACTTCAGTTTTTATTGGTCACTAAGAGTATCCATCAATCCACTGTTTTATGTAGATGTTGCATTTTTCCAGGAAAAAGTTTTTTTACAGTATTTCCAAACAGGATTTAAAAATTAGCAGACTACCCTCTCTACCTTTTCTTTTTTCTTTCCCCCCACCCCCAAAGCTAAAAAATCTTAAATTAATTATTTCCCATGAGGCTTTTAAAAAGACTCTTAGTACTGGTAATGTGCAATGACCAGCATTTGAATGCAAGTATGTAAGTGTGTCAATCTGAGCTTGTTCAGGTAGGTCAGTTGGCTTAATTATTTACCTCTGTATCTATTTGACTATGACATCTAAACAGTTATTGTGCTTGATCTGGTGCGTGTTGTGTCAAGATACAGAGCGTTCAATATGTAGAGCTATTTTAAAGACCTAATTTTCTGGGGGAGAAGAGATAAAAATCACAATTTTATTCCTACGTCGTCATGGATATCAGTGCTGTCCTCTGTGTATTGGAGTCAATGGAACTGTATTTTCTTGCACCAGATGTGAATTCTGCCTTTAATGTCTTAGATTTGTGAATGGTAAGTGTTATTCAAGGAATCAGCTGAACTATTTACTTAATTTAGAATATTTACTTAATGGCATTTCTGTCATTCAGTATTTTGCTAAATTAAGCTGACTTACGCATATTGAAATATTTGCGGTCTCCCAGAAAAAATGTATTCAAAGACTAATGGATTCCTCCTTTGATCTTTTTAGGGGTTCATTTCAGGTAGGAATTCACTTTAGGCTAATGTATGGTCTTAAAATATGAGGATGTTATATCAAGAAGGAAAAAAACATATTAGCCTGTTGGAGCTCTTTATTGCAATCTTTCACTTGCATGTTATCCTGCTTCCTTCTGAGATATCAGTATTAGTGGAATTTATCAGTTTCTGTAACCCTAAATCTTAAAATCTAAGTCCCTGGATCTGCAGTTATTTAAGCTATATAACTGCACAGTCCAGCAGTTGGTTTTGAGGCCCCCCCTGAGCCATTCCTGCAACTTCACTTGGTGAGGGCCTGGGCTTCCCCTTCTAAACTCACTTGGAGATGAACTTGTGGAGATCCATAGTTTACCATGGCTGAATTCTTTATACTACCCAAGTTAGTTTTCTTAAGCCAGTGCTGTTATTTTTCTACTATATTGCAATGTGCTGAAGACCAGGAGTGTGGTTTCCTTTGACCTCCTGGACCTTGGAGTCCCTTTCCTGGTAAACGAGTTATGAGCTGTCTGTTTTTGAAGAAGGCTGTAGTGACTTTTCACACTTGCATAAGGTGCTCCCCCTCCAAAACAAACTTCTTTCTGTCTTCTCTTTACTTCTGTGTGTATTTCTAAATACGATGTGTGACCTCCTATGGAGAGAATATAACCTTTGACTAAATAAGAAGTTATCCTGTATTTACCTGAAAACACTATATTATCCTGGTTGCCTTTATATAGAAATATAGAGCTCAGCTAACTTCAGTTCATGGAATTGTGTAGTTCCAGCACTGTGTTTTTGCTCCTTTTACAACATATATACATGTATTCTGTAAAGTCTAAGGGAAACTAAGCAATCCGTTGTTTGCTATAAAAGCTATCAAAGTATTTCAGCAGAATGTTCCTAGCTGATCGTGGCAGAGATTATGATGCAACGCCTCCTAGATTCTTCTCCCAGAATGTGTTGGGTCTACCCTGCCTCAAATGCTCTGCAGAGAGGAGCAGGGGACCCATTTAGTGCAGGCAGCTCTGACTGGATTGGGCTGGTGGAAACAGTCCAGCTACCACCGCAGCATCCACGCGCTCCCTGAGGATGTGCAGCTTGTGAGAGCTCTAACTTCACTCAGCTTTACCTACACAGGAGCTTTAAGTGCACTCTGAATACACTGGGATCACTGGGCCTATGAACAGTAACAGCTGAAAACAGTATTTAAGATCATTTCTTGGTTCCATCATTTGGCATTCATAATTTAACTGGGCTCCCCACTGCATAATGTCAGAGTGAAAGCACACTCAGCATTTCTGGGGCTCTTGCAAGGAAAATTGGATGTTATTGGTTTCTCTGAGAGGAGCCTCTGGACCTAGAGCAACCGAAACTTGTAGGTTCTGGTGGAAGCAGGGTCAGCTTTTCCTCCGGCCGCACTACAGTTCTAGTGCAAGAATTGCTGGATGAAAACAGCTGCAGAGATATCTCCTTTTCCTGTTTCCCACAAAGGAAAAAACAGCAGCTGGGCCTGAAGTGCTTGAAATTATTTGAAAAGTTCCTAGTTATTTCTGCATGTATCTTCAGTTTCTTTAACAGACTCCAAAGCATGTCCTAGTTTTTTCCGCCCCAGCACTTCCCCTGAAGAAAGAACCTTGTTCCATAAGACAATTTCTCATCTCCTTGTTAATGCTTCTACCCTTAATCCTGGCCCTTGAGAGAAAAGCGTGCCAAGTAAGGCCTAAAGTTGGCAAACTAGAAATGCCACCTAGCTCGGCACGGTTGGTGGCCAGGGAAGCTGTTGGTGCTTCAGAAAGCCTGCGTTTGAGTCTTCCTCGTCTTGTTTTATGTTCATGGGAAGTGAAAAGAGGTAAGAGGTTTTAGAATCAGTATTTAGCCATTTATTACATAATGAAGCTGTGGGTGAATTTGTGACTATCTGATGTTCTTTCCTGTTAAGATTGTGTTACCATGTGTAGTGCAGTTTTAGTACTGGGGGCTGAGGCTTGTTGAAAACAAAATGGTCTTATAACTTGCAACCCAAAACAACTATGAAATGCATGTCTGTCATCAAAGTTGGAATGAATTTCAGGTAAAGCATACAGTGAAGAATGAAAGAGAAATATATTTTATATGTCAATATAAATTAATGCTTCTAGGACAGGGGAAATATCTCAAGAGGATTTTGCTGTCCTCCTCCTCACTGCCCCCCTTGGATCTACTCAAATCTGACAAAAAGTATTTGCCGCAAGTAAATTAAGGTCTCATTTTGTTGTTGATTTAGAAGAGGGGAAGACTGGAGAATAATTAGGATGAGAATGGAGAATGGCAGGAAACTCAAAAACTTCCAGACCTCATAGAGTTCTGTGTTATTGTGACTTTTGCTTTTCTGGAGGTGCTGAATCCCAGTGCCTCTCGGTGCTGAAATCACAGGGCTGCTTGACATCCATTGCATCTTTCTTCCTCCCCTGTGGAGAGGGGGACGTGGTGGAGTTCTTATTTTGGAAGATGAAAGGGGCGGTGTTCAAAACACCTGCCATTAAACATCTGCGTTATTAAAGGTAAAGCTGAAGAAATATGCCAAAAACAGGAGCAGGAGGTGGTGGAATTTTATATGACTGACTTCATAGGACATTCACTCCACATCTGTGAACTAAAAGATAATTTTGATTCTTGGATAGAGGAACTTTACTCTGGCTGTAGAGAGCCATTTTGCCAAGGATGTCACATGCATCCTTGTTTCAGGCTTCATGAGACACAGAACTCATGTCTTGCACTGTTAGAAAACCCTTAAAAATAAACATTTCTATTCTTAAAGTTAGCAAACCAGAACACTGACTGTTTAAGTGCATTTTATATGTAATCTATTTCTACAGAGTATTTTTAAACTATTTTACTAAATTTCATTTACAGGAAAGACTCAAGATGGAGCATTACTACCTTTCAATATAACTTTTTTTTTGTCTTAATATCTTAGGATGAACATTTAAACATAGTCTTCAATCTTGCTTAAAAATGTCTCTGTGTGCATCTTCGCACAAGGACTTTTCTCAGTTGCTGCCGCTTCAAGATATTGGATGCAATAAAACAGAAATTAAAAACTCACCAGCTGGTATCGGCTCTCCAGTTCCCTACAGCTGTACTCAGTCCGTGCTGGCAGTAGAACACAGTCCAGTTTATATCCCTTCGTCTTACATGGAAAGCAGACATGAATATTCTTCCGTGGCTTTCTGCAGTCCTGCTATGATGAATTACAACTTTACTAGCAATTTTGGTGATTCAGAGAATGCAACTGTGAGGCAAACGTCAAGCCCAGGTGTGTTGTGGTCTGGCCCTGGCCACCTCTCCCCTCTGGCACTGCACTGTCAGTCATCAATTCTCTACACAGAGCAGCCAAAGAGCCCATGGTGCGAAGCAAGACCCGTGGAGCCAGTGCTGCCTGGCAATAGGTGAGTAATTATCGTTTATTTAAACTTTAAAATTTGAAACTGCAAATTAACTGCATTTTCTTTCATTCTTTTCAGATTTTCCTTTTTTTTTTTTTTGTTTTTTTTTTTTGTTTGTTTGTTTGTTTGACTTCTATGCATTGTCTCTTCCAAAATGCAAACATCAAATCAGTCCTGTGTTTTAACTTCTGAAATAGGGTTTCTTTTCAAGTGGCTCCATAGAGAACTATACACTATAAATGTTTTCTATTTGGAAACTGATTTTTGTGTATAAATAAAAGTTCAGGGCTTCTGGGTACTACTTTGTGTAATAAAAACTAATTTCCCTGCTCTGGCAAATTAAGTCCTTTGAGCGAGAGAAGCAAAGGTTCGTTCTTTGTCCCTTTTCAGAGAATATTGCTTGAATTCCATTTCATGTGGATTTTTTTTAACTGCATCCATGTAAGCTTTTCATGAACTTGATATTAAAAAATACTTTGAGTTCTGACAGTCACATGAGAGCATGCATCATGTTTAAAAGAGAGCTGCTGTTGAAAGTCCGATGTTTTCTCGTTGCTATTCTAGACTTACTTTATGAAGTTGTTGTGACAGAAGATGCAGCTGAAAATAGTGCCAGGTGTAAAGAAACTATTTGCAAACACATGTTCCCGTCCTGCGCGTTCACTCCTGCTGCCTCCCGTGAGGGGTACAGCAGCCGTTGATTCATCATACTCTGTTGATCGGCCCAACAGCTGTTTCGTAGATTAAAAACATGGTGTTGCAGGTGCTATTCCTCTTTGGGCAGTTGTATGTTTGTTCAAAGGACTCTTTGTTTAACTGCTGTGGTCACTGTCAGGTTGGAAAATAATAGTGTGGCCTGGAAGCAGATTTAGTCCGATTGTTCAAAAAGGATTTGGGCCATTTTTGAAACTACTCCCACCTGTTCCCCAAAGGATGGGCCTTATGTTGTCTGTACATGGACAAGAAGTCAGATCTAGATGTCTGCTTGGACACTTGACAAGTCTACCTTTGGGGTCATGCAGGTGGAGGTGTGAGGAGCCGTTTGGGTTTTGCTGCTTCACGAAAGGCTTCCCCAAAGCAGATATTGCGCCTGAGCAGGGTGCAGTGTTAAATAACATAACCAAACTCCTCTCACTTGGTTCATGTTTAAACCAGAGAGAGATCTGGAAAAGCTGCCACTGGTTAATGTTTTAAGGTGGCCGGACGATAGGGCAGCGGCTGGAATAACCCAAGAGGCAGTGCCCCACGCGACGCTCTGTGGCGTGATCCCCGCGTGCAGGGACGGGAGCCAAGCCGGTGACTCAGCAGCTCGTGTAAATAACAACCTTCTGCCATTGGTGTGCATTCGCATGGGCTATTGCTCTCGTAGCTTATTATGACCTAATTTAAATGGGAAAAATCAATGAAAAGCGGGATCTAAATTTACGGCTCACCTTTATCTTTCAGCAGTAGGTAGGTGCTGCTGGTGCTTTGGGCCTTCTTGTGCTTCAGTCACCAGCACGCTGTAACCCCCTTTATGTGCAGAAATTTTAAGAACCGACATTTAATTTAACTTTGCACCAAAAGAAGCAAAAGTAGTAATTCCCTTATTGTGGGTCTCCAGACTGAAATAAGGCTGTAAAGGAAAAAGCTCTGTGTTTTCTTCTGCTTTATACTTTGGAGAGGTCTTAAATTGATGTCATGAACGTTGTATTTATTGCCATGGGAACAATGGTTGCGACGCTGTGGATTCGTAGACTGTACCCTGAAGGAAGAGTTCTTTGGGTTGAAACTTAAGGGAATAGTTGTGGGGGATGGAAAACGTGTAGTGTCAGGTGTAAGTAGTTCTAAATACAGCATTGTAGGTTCTTCTTTATATATATAGATATAAAAAGGTGTTCTGTCCAAATGGTGAGTAAATAGGTACTACCATATAGTCAGATATGTTACACAGTTTATTCCTTTACATTTAAAAATAAATATGTAGACTCACTGTGAAAGGAATTTAATTTTATTGGGTGTGAAATTCCATTAACATTAGCTAAAATGATGTGATCTAGTTTGCCAGAACTGATTTCTGTTCAGTTTGAACTTCCTTGTGGATCAGCTTAAAATAAGGAACCTAAATTTCCGTTCCTTATAAATGCATTAATTCTATAAATGCAGAAGTAATTTATTTAACTTTGTTAAAGGAAAATATTATGTAGCAGTGTGCTAATTTGCAAGAGTTTAGCAAAAATGCATTGTATTTTGTATAAAAGTAGACATGAATTTTTAAAGGTCCATTTTTGCATTAAATGGTGGTACATTGGTGATGATACAAATCTGCCACAATCCTTATGGATGCTGCAACTGTTGCAGACAATAGAAATACTCTCATAAATTTTGTTGGGACACAAACACAGCTTTTATATTAAAATGATGTGGAGGGAAAAGAAATTTGGCAATATAAATGTAAGTTATATAAGACTAGTCTGGCATGTAGGCTGAAGTTAGTTTCTGTTCTCATTCTCTAACTAAAAGGCTTGTAATTAAAGAAACAGAAGGTTTATATTCCAAATGGACACATGTATCAAGAAATATCACTGAAATTGCCAGTCATGCTTCTGGGACTTGTTTTGTTCTTCCCTTCTGTTATTTTCCTTGTTCTTCTGACAGCAGCCGCAGATAGAATACAGAAATAAAAGTTTATTGGATGCATTGGCCAGCAATGTTTGCTTCATCAGAAGTTTAATAAGTTCATTTGTGTTATTGTTCAGTGCGTCCTAATTTGTAGTGTCTTGCTTTTAAATTGTTTAAACTCTGCTCTGAAGCCATAATTGTTTATATTGCCCTGCTATGTTTTTTTTAACTGTTCTCATTCTGCAGAGCTCTCAAGTGCGTCTTGTAGTCTTTTCGAGATGATATTTTAGCTTAATTTGTGTAACTCCTTATTCGTAAAACAGAGATGCCTGTCCCTTAATTTTGAGATACCTATGACATTATTTTCAGCACACCAATCAATGTTTGGAGTGTAACAGAACCAGTGCCGTGGAGAGCTAAATATTGACATTTGTGTGGTATTAACAGTTCTGGAAATCCTGCTGGAGGGAGTTTCTCAGAAAATCAGGAGGGTAATGGCTGAAAATTATTGTTCAGTTTGTTTGCTTATTTTCGCCAGCATCTCACACAAATTCTGTGAGAGGGACGGAGAGTCTTGCTGAGTTTTATGCAGGCAACGAGGATCTGTGAGACTCTCTGTTATTTTTTTCACCAGTAGGAAATTGCAGCTTTGTTACTTCCCCAAAAATCTTTTTTTTTTTTTAATGGAAACATATGATCTGCATGTAGAAACCGTGATCACAGAGTAGAGGGGAGTGCTAGGAGGTGAAAATGGTAAGTCTGGGACAGCCTGTGTGGATGCGGCTCCGTAGCAAGCCCACTGCCCTCGGCCCAGGAGCGCGTTGGGCAGCCAGGCAGCTGCCTGCTCCTCTGGAGAGCCTGGCAGCTCGTTCTTCTGCAGAACCTCCTTGAGTGCTGCAAGCCCGAAGGCAGCCTCCAACCATCTGTGAGGCTGCTCTTTGTGCGAGTGACCTGTCTGATGGGGAAGTCCTCAAGGGAATGAACGTGTGCTGTAAAGCTCAGAGCTATTTCCTAGCTCCGTTGTCCTTACCAGAGACTCTGCTAACACAGCGTTGAGGCTGTGGCTGTCGTGGCTGAACATCTTCGATGCCAACTCATGGGGGGGACGCGTTCCAGACTGCTGCTCTGTGTGCAAGTTGTTTAGCACGGTCTGAGGAAGTCCCATAGGTTGCCTGAGTGCAGGATGGCTACTGTTCAACTTTAAACAGAGAAAGAAGTGTTGTTTGTTTATTTGTTTGAAGCATGTGTCATGACTGCAAGGTAAGAAGGCAATGCACACCAGTGGGATGGTCTGGAATGTGCCTTTTCTCTATTTTTTAGCTGTAACATTTCTGTGCTTTTTAGCAGGGGCAATAAACACAGATCTCTATAGCATATCAATTGGGAACTGAAACACTCTATCTGATTTTAATGCTCTTCTGAATCTCACAAGAGGATCATGATTTCCAAACAGAGCTTAAATATATACCTCCACCTATAGAGCAAAATCTCAAATTCTGTTTTTTTCTCTGAAAGTCAGGGGGTTGGAGGAAGGAATGGCAATCCTGTTTCCTCTCACAGTAGCAGTGTGAGCCATACGTGATGTACCCCTTGTATTATTAGGGGGAGTCTCCTATGCTGGTCATCCCAGTGTGCCAGGATGGGAGACACCTTCCTGACTCTGAATCTGGCAATCAGCTGGATGTGTGTGTGATCAAATACGGTGTGGCTGTAACATCTCAGCACCTTTATTCCCTGTGATAGGCTGTATTCACTCTTAGTAATACTTCATCTCAATAATATCTCAACAAATGTGTGTGTTATTGCAGTAACTAAAGTCTACAAAAAGTACTTTAAATTCCTATATCAGTATTTGCTCAGAGAACCACCTTTTCCTTCCAAATCTTCTATCAGAAAACTGGATCATGTTCTCTGGAGCAGGGGTGGGCTGGTGATTCTTAGTTGGGATGTGCATGTGATTGTCCTTACCTGCTATCATGAAAGCAGCATAAAGTCTGCTTTAATAAGCTAGCTGAAATCTCCTTGACATCAATCCCAACGTGTTTCTGCCATTCTGTTTAAATTTACTCTCATTAATGGACAGGTTTCTTCTTCCCTGGACAGATATCCTTCTTCTTTAGAAGTCATGAAAGGTGCTGTCTACTGCCTTGCCCCAACTATGTTTCTTCTTTTCCTTAACCCTGTTGGAAGGCAGCATGGGGAACACTGTGATTTCTCCCTCTGCCTCCTTATATATAAACTTATAAGTTTATACTTGTAAGCTGACTATACAGCTTTGCTTTTGACAAACCACTACTGAGAGCTTGCGTGCAATGTTATGTGAAGGAATTATATTGACCAGCAAGGTAAGACAAAGAGAATAAAGTCTGGAGAAAAAGGATACAAAGAAAGTGTTTCCTATATCCGAAAAACCACCTCAGTGATGATCTAAGTTCCTTTCCGCTTACTGTTTGTTTACAGGATCTTGATGTCAGGAATTGGCTCCTATGTCATGTTTTTATCCTGTTCTAGTTTTAATTTAGTCACTGAGAATTGCAATTGGAATTATTTAGGGTACTTCAAGATCAGACATATTAATCTATATTGAGCAATAGAATTTATGTGCAAAATACGTTTTATTAATCGTGTTTCTACATTCTTCTGGTACTCAGACTTCTTTTTATTTAACGCTTCCCTCGTTAAAGGCAGTCAACATGGCTGGTCATCTAGAACAGAAAACCTTGTCTAACCCTGAGTTAACCGTGTGGGTCTCATTTGCGGCTTTAAATAGATGTCTCCAGCATTCTGATTAATAGGATTTCATTTAAAGGTTGGGATACTTGGGAGTGCATGTGCATTGCTCAAGCTAGGGTTGTCCCTTGCTAGTGGCTCACAGTGAGAAGCAGATGAAGTTCTGTTCGTGGTAGTCCAAGCTGCCTGGCAGTTTTGTGCTTTCTATATTAAGCTTCCCAAAGGCAAGATTCATTCATAAACAAGACAATTTACAAATTCCTTCTGTATTTCTAAGCATTCTTCAAGTTCCATGGGTATTCTGTATGACTTTTCTAGAGTTCATGTGAATGTCAGATCAGCAGTAAGATTTTATGCTTGTGAGTGTCTGGAACTTTCTACCCAGACATCACTGGAAGCTCTGGGATCGGAATATGTACTTTAAATAATCTTACTAGAAAAACACCTAACACTGTTTAATGGTCTTCAGAAATAGCAGACTTTGAGAGAATTGAAGAAGGTGAAAAATAAGAAGCCCTTTGCAATATAGCTAGATCCATTTTTTACAGATTTATAACATTTTTTTCCTTTTCTGTCAGAGAGACGTTAAAAAGAAAAACTAATGGCAGTGACTGTACAAGCCCCGTTGCAAATAATCCTGGCTCAAAAAGGGATGCCCACTTCTGTGCAGTCTGCAGTGACTATGCTTCAGGATATCACTATGGGGTCTGGTCATGTGAAGGCTGCAAAGCATTCTTTAAAAGAAGTATTCAAGGTAGGAAAACCAGCTTTTGATACCTTTTGCTCAAATATTTTTTTCTTGATTGGGTTGGGTATTGCAGCAGTTGATCTAGTAACGAATTGATCTTTTAAAATCCTGGTGTGTCGTGATACATGTTGAAAAAGGGCAACAAATAATTTAACTGCTTTATCTGTTGGCTCTTATGCTATCTGGAAGATCTGGAAACATTACAAAATGAGCAATTGACCTCTTGAGAAGAGGTGGAATGCATTGCACATGAGAAAGCTTCAGCAAAGGCATCAGTGAGAAGCCTGTGAAACTGCAGTTTGAATCCCAAAAGTAGATGGAGTAACTGTGGATTTGCTATAACAGACATTGTCGTAGGGGGTAATTGTCTCAAGGCTTTGCTTGCCAGGAACTGTTCCTATGAGGAATATATTGCCTGGAGCTGTTGAATTGTAGCAAATAATACTTACGTAGTATATAGGATATAAAAATATCCACAGAAGGTATTGCATGCGTTTGTATATATATATTTATTTACTTCCATGCTCTGCATTGCAGTAGTTCTTGTTCTGGCAGTCTAAAATCTTTCTAACTAAAATTTGCAGCTCAATGATTAAGTTCTCAAATGTGGGAAATACGGAGTAGGCAGTTCAGATCTGCTCGGTGGCTGCAGCATGTAGTGTAGGTCTGCATGGTTCCTGTCACACCTACAGACCAAGCAGTGGCTTGTGTGCTGTAAAGACATGAAGTGGAGTTTGGACCATTTCATGGCTTCAGCTTTGACTTGGCTTATCGTGTTCTTTGTCTTAGTCTGGGGCTGCTTGGTGGGAGCTCATTTGGATTCAGGTAAGATATTGACTGCACGTGTAAGGTCCCCAGGAGCTCCTATCGTTTTGCTGCCCATAATGTCCTCTTCCACTCAAGCGCTTACTTCTCTTGTGACAGAATCCATGTCACCGTTAGAATCAAACTTTATTCAAAATTTATTGGCTTTTTTTTTCCTCTAAGTTCTGCATGGCCAAATAACAACGTATAAAAATTGATGCAAGTCCCTTTGATTCTAAAAATGATTGAAGAGAACTTTGTCTCCCGTCTGTCACAAATGGGACTGAATTTGGTCTCAAAGTGTTTTCTGTCAGGAAAATTATTTCCCTGCTCTGCGTGACTCACGAGTGATTTGTCCGTAAAGAAGTTACCTGTTGTAGCCTTTTGTACACCTTAATGCACCCTGTCAGATAACATTTGTTTGTAATTCGAATAAATGAAAGCAAGTTCAAGCCATAAAGCATTATCAAGCACTCAGTTGCAACTGTTATTGTTAAAGATGTTGCTTAAAAAAAAAAAAAAAGCCTCAATTTCCAAGATTTTGAGCTATGGCAATTGGACAGGATTAGATAGTATGACTGGACAACTGTGTGTGGTCTCCTACACTGGTCCAAGCTTGCAGGGTAGTGTGTTGGTCCCACGTCTCTGAACATCTGCCTGTAAACTAAATCATCCCAAGGCCACAGGAGTTTTAGACCCCTGGGTGCTCTTGTGTGCTTCAGTTATAGTGCAACAGAGACCTCCTGCCTCCTTCCCCCCACCAAGTTGTGTGAAGAGTGATAAATAGTAATTTGTTTTTCAGTCCTCTCTGCCAGTAGGAAGTGGGACAAACTGTAACCTGATCTCTTCTTTTTTAAACACTGTAGGTTCAAAAATTCAAGGTTAAAATTATTTTAATTTTCCAAGGAAATAGTCACAATGGTTCAGTTAAATAATCACTCTTGGGGAAATGAACTCTTGGACTTGCTCATCTATTGAGAAAAAACAACCTACTTGTAGACTGCTGTATCTTTGTCAAATCTATTCTTAAAAAAGTTTGAAAAAATAACTTGGAAAAACAACCTGCCAGAAAAGAGATTAGGAAATGTAAATGAGTGAATATTTTTGTATCTGTAGATACTACTCCAAGAGAAACTTCCAGTCTTTGGCAGGAGGTGATTTGCTTCAGAGAGTAGTCCACTTTAGTTTACAGTAATAAACTCCTTGATCAAATTTATCGGTTAATCAAAGACAATGACATAAAGGGTTTTGGGGAGGAGGATCGGGGGGAAGGAGAAGACAACAGAAAGAGAGGGAATAGAAACTGAGGCAAATAGAAGAAACCTTTGTCCAGAATATCTAAAAATTATATCTACCATTTGCTGTATCCCGATATACAGGGAGAAGTTGGGGTTTTGGGGTCAACTTCCACAAGAGCATATGTCCCATTTTCAAAAATGAGTTGCTATTAGAAGGTGTCAGTTATCTAACAGTGATCAGGGAAAGATGGTATGTGGTGCCCAGATACTTTTTGAGGTCAAAGATGAACATTTTCAGTTCAGGATAAATATGTACTTTTGCAAGGCCAAGAGAGATGGCCGAAGATCTTAAATTTTCTCTCTTGTTCCCTCCTGCAGGACATAACGATTACATCTGCCCAGCCACAAATCAATGCACAATAGATAAAAACAGGCGCAAAAGCTGCCAGGCATGTCGGCTACGGAAATGCTATGAAGTGGGAATGATGAAATGTGGTAAGTATAATGTGCGGCCGTGCACCGTTTGCTTGGGCTTGGGCTTTTTTTTCCCCCTTCAGTAATTTTGTAGGGCTTCTACTGCTTCCCTCTCTTCCCCCTGCCCTCCCTGGCATCCTAAAAAGGCTCACCAAGTAACACAGCAAGGTTCAAGCTGGCTCGTTTGTTCCTGCCCCCAATGGTGTCCAGGCTGGAATGCTTAGGGAAGAATGCAAGAATGAAACTTGAAATTTCTGCAGAATAATCCCAGTTTCCAGAAAGCAGTAGTCTGGACTTGCTGGTCCAGGAGAGGCTTTGCATATTTAATAGGCCCAAACAGATTAGTGGAATAGAAACTCATCCAGCATCCCTTCTTTAATCCTGCAAAGTCTTAATGTCTGCAGCAACCCATTGCAAGGAGCACTACAGCTTTACTAAACATCATATGAAGAACCAGCTCTGGTTATCTGTTGGGAGAGGGGAAACAGTTTGAGGGAGTGTTGTTGGTTTTTTAAAATTTATTTTAAAAATTTAATTAAAAAAAAATAGCCAGGCTACTTTCATTAGATGCCCTCCAACCCTTTCATCAAAAGGAGTAGTGTCAACCTAGTTTGTGCTCACTGCACCATGTAGCCTTTTGTCTTATTCCTCTCCTGTACTGACACATCAGTTGATATTTTATTCGAAAGGTTGCTGTTAAGATGAAAATCTTTTAAAAGATGCTTAAGTATCCAATGTGCTTTCATAGTTAAGGTTTATTGCTGTTTCTTATAATTGTATCAGGGTCCATGATAGGCTAGGAAAACATCACATAGGAACACTGGAGGGGAAGTGACAAGGTCAGTGTGCCTGGTCCTCTGTGATTTGCAGGCGTGCATCTCATTTTGTCCCATTTAATGTAGTTACCTGTTTCTATTTCAAGGCTAGGCAGTGTTTTCACCCTCCCACTGCTTTGATCCGAAGGCCGTTTGCAGAATACTATTTCCTTCATTAGGAACATTCTCCCGAATGCCTGCATTTATTGCTGGACAATTAACGCCCATTTGCTCTTGTGGCAGTGTTGTCTTGTAGCTTAGAGGCTCTTCTCTTTATTATTAACTCTCTAATTGTATTTTTGGACTGCAGCCCTATCGTTTCACAACCTTCCTTTTATTAGGTTAAACAAACCAAACGATCTCCCCCTTCTCACAAAATAGGAAAGCAGCCAGACTCTGGAAGCTGAGGTAGCTTCTCCCTCACTCTGATTTGGGCTGCAATCATCTGTTTTGCACATCAATTTTGCACATCTAAGCTTCAGTATTAGAGCTGGAAAACTTTTATAAAGACCGTTTCACTGTTAGCACTGCTTTCAGTATTGTTGTGAAGACTCGACTCCACAATGTTTCCCATAAGCAAATCTTTGTATTCTAATGGAGTCTGGCTTTGTGATCAGAATTCATAGGGACTATGATATTACAAGGAATACATAAAATCTATTTGTATTTCAGCTTGTGTTCCTTATAATCTTTTCCAATACTCCTAATAATATTTATAGGATGCTAATTACATGTGTTATGCAAAAAAAAAAAACTCTTTGAAATTTATAAATGTGCTCAGTTACTAGTTATAAGAATTCTATTTTAAAATTATTTAGTATTTTAAATTGTAGAATTGAAATCTGAGGATCCTAAGAATTTAATTTGAGGAAAAGTAATGTAGAAGTTGCATGTTTGCTAATCAAGCCTGAATTGTCTCAATTACTTGATGAGTTGAGGCATCTGTGGGCAAAGCTGATGCTTGGGTATATGGTAGCCAGTGTTTGACAGACAGTTTAACCAGACAGATTTTAAAACTGTATTTCTTGCGTGAAACATAAATGCCATTTCCTGCAGACCAAAGTGATTATCTTTCTTTTTTGTTGTTGTTGTTAGAGTCATGCTTTAATACCCCTTTTTCACTCTAGAAAGCCATAAGAGTACATTTTCTCCTTAATGAAGGCTTTTTCCCAGTCTCTCTGTTCCTTTCGTAGGTCACTCAGTGAATGTGTTGGTTCACGTCTGTTAAAGCTCTGGACAGGACAGAATGCTTCGTTAAGTGGATATTTGCTTGGTGGAGACTTACTGTCCAGGAGAAGCGATAAAAGAGCCTTATTTACTGCTTTGCAAGTTTAGGAAGGCTCTTCATAAAAGCTGTGCTCTTTGCATCAAGTCTTTAAAACCTCATTTTGTGTATTTTATGCAGATACCTTAGAAAAAAATTGTTTGTGTGTGTGTGTGTATATATATATATATATATATGCAGATATACACGTGTGTGTGTTTATGGCCATAGGTTTGCTTGGGTAGTACATGCCTCTGTACAACAGTAGGAGGTAGTTGGAAAAATACTGCTTTGCAGCTTGCAGTTTCCTGGTGTGAACTTCTCCTGGACATCACTATATTCATAAACATTGAGAGGTCAAGCCAGCAAGGCCATGGAGCTGCAGATATTTCTGTAGGAGAGGGGGTGCTAGCTTGGGTGCTCTGTATGAAGGTGATAATGGATTTTCTTACTGGATATCACATCATTGCCAAGAGCACATTGAGAGTCTTAGACGCAGTATCTCCCGATTCTGTGCACATTAAGTCTGTGTTGCTTAATGTTCCAGTGAGGCAAGCCACTAAACAGCAAAATCCTGGCCTCAGGAGCAACCTGGAACAAGTAAAACAGAATTATGGCAAATAAATTAAAATTAAATTCTACCCAGCAAACTCGAATAAAATGTATCATGGCAAAATGGAAATTTTAGGGAGCTTTCTGCTCTTTCTCGCAGCAACCTGAGATGGCCTAAGCTATTTGCCCAAGGCAGTGAAGAGGGGATTTGCTTCATCATTTGCTAGAGCTGCTCTGATAGTGACTGAGCTGGTAGTTGACTTTTTTGCTAGCAGAGAAAATAAACTTTCTGCCTTAACAAGTCTTCAGTTTCCTGCTTGGACTAGAATTATCTCTTTTTGGTCATCATCTTTGTTTCTACAAATGCTAGGTCCTAATGTCTCAAAAATGCTCCAAGTTAGAGCTCCTTTTTCAAATGTGAGTGAGCATGAGAGGCCATACTAAAAAGTAGTGGATGCCCTTGAATAATGCCCTCTTTCCTTAGGTTTGCATGGAGGAAAAGAGACAACTCTGTGGGCCTATATAGGTTGTTCAGTGCAGCATTTGGGTCTCTCTCCTGTACTTAGCTCCTTAGTGCAGTTTCTAGGTAGTACTTTGAAATGCTGTAAATTACTTTTCGTGCAAAGTGAACGGGGAAAAAATATTTTGTGGCGTTCTCTGAATGCCAGATGTATTAATTGTATTTTAGCTGTTATAGAAATTACTGCAATTTTAGCTCTTGTTCTGCTGTGTCTATAGCAGACAGCAGCGTCTTTTTCAGGTCTGCTTTATGAATACAGGTGTACTCACCAGAACATTTGCATTTGCTTTCAGAGGTGATTTGAGTGGCAATGATCTACTAATGTGTGCTTGAGAAGAGCAAGTTTTAAGCTCAGACGCTTCCCAAAACTGACTATACCCCATTGAAGAGCAGACTCTGCAGTTCCTACTGAACCTGCTAGCAGTTGCTAGGGCCAAAATCAATATTGAGCTACGTGTCTCCTAACTGTCCACCATATTGGACAGCAGGGCATGTGTTACAGGATCAAGCAATTTGTAAACCAGGAGTTACTTCAAAAACTACTCACTTTGCTGTCAGTGATGCTCGTTGCGGTTCATCCGTAGGCGAGCGAACAGCAGGCTCAAGACCTCTTGGTGTGACTTACTACGTTCTTGTCATTATTTGCCTGCATGGCCTATGGCACCTTAACTAGAGGTCTCGCCCTTCCTCCAGCCTTCTCAGCTGATTTCAGCTATTTCCATGTGCAAAGATTAGCTGTAAATCAGAGGAGTGCTGTGGGAATATGGGATTTGATGATCTCCAGAGGTCCCTGCCAGCCTCAACCACTCTCTGATCATTTTGTGCACTTCTACAATTGCCCAGATTCACCTCATAACCTTTATAAGGATGAGAAATCGTTATTCAGGGAGTTCGTGGTAAAACCAGGGGTAGTCCCTAATCTGAAACATTTGAAGGAATTTTTGATGTGCCTTTGAACTGATTAATTCAGTGTCTAGATAGATAAATACTAGGTAGAACTATATTTCTAAGATACAGCTTTATAAACATTTATACATGTTTCCATTTTTAACAGATGTGTACAGAATGTCTTTTTCTGTCCTGCTAAACATTTGGATTTAAACAAAAATAACAAAAGCTCTTTTATATGGTTTAAATTGTGTTTTAATTAGACTGCTGCTGCCTGCATTGTCAATTGACTAGCAAGCTTGAAATCTTACCTTCCTAGCTGTGTAACCTTGCAGTGCTCTGTCTTTTATTTTGCTTGCATTTGGGGAAAAAAAGGTGTGAAATTAAATGGCATCCCATTAATTGCTGATAAGTTGTCTGCTTCTGGTTTGTTTGTTTGTTTTTTGTGGGTTAGCCAGTGATTCAGGCTTCTGCTTAAATCAAATGCAAACAGTAATTCAGTATTCTGCCTCATTTTATGCATACATATATATATACAGACATATGTGTTTATATATATTTTACATATATATTTAGTTTTAGGGGGTGTGTGTATTTAGTAAAAGTTTATTTTTAATACTGAAATGTCGTAATTCCCCTAGTTTGTTCTTCTGCCATGAACATGTGGATATAGAAGCTAGTTTTTTTTTTTTAAAATTGAGTGCATGCTGCTACTTCAGCATAGATACTAGTTAGCTGTAAAGTTTGATTTAGTCAAATAACTTCAGGTCACTTAAAGGAGCTTATTACTTCCCAATAAGAACCTTCCAGTTGCTGAGACTTTTCGTTCTGTCAGTGCATTTCAAAGCCTGAGCTGAATTATCTTCAGGTAGAGTATGGAGCACAGCTGTGCAGATCAAAATTGTACAAGACTGGAACAATTAGGAGAGAATGATGGACCTCTTTTCTTTTTTTCTCTCCTTCTGTTTTTGCAGTTTACTGAATTCTTTGATCTTTGTAAAGTACCTGTGTTCAAATAACTCCACAGTGTTATTTGAACGACTTTACGCAGCAATGTTTTGAACGGGTAACTCGGGCCTCAGCACCAAAGCCTGATTCTGTTTTTTATGATGTGGGTTGCAGCTCAGCAGAGCCAGGAACGCTCTGGGAGGACAGTTAAACTGAGCTTGCTGAGTCCCACGGAGAGCTCTTAGGTCCCTTTGGTACCCGCTAAAATGAACTACAGCCAGCAGTGCTTGTCTGGCCTCACATCTCCTACAGCAGAGGTGTCCAGACTGCTGCAATTTCCTCCTCATTGTGTCACTGAGCACTTCTTTCTTTTCATAGCATCTTCCTGCCCGCCAAGCCAAGCCCATCCTTTTGTGGACCTTCTTGTTTTGGACACGGTCCCTTCAGACAGTTGAGTGACTTTGAATTTAATTTAAAAACTGCTCTTCATTGTGCATTTTCTTTCTTGGTGCTTCACATCTCCACCAAGTACTGGAAAGCAAAGCCCATTAATGTCTTGGAGCAGTTTTTAGACCCTCTGTGCTATATTGGTCATTCTGTCCTCCAAGATGCTGAAGTTCAGTGTGCTTTGGCTTTCTGAGCAGTGCGACCTCTGTGAGGTGTTGCTTTCTGCTTTAGTTCCTTCCCTGGAGGTTGCAGTCTTGACCGTGCATGTTCCTGTGGAAGTCAGATCCATTAAATCTCTCTCTAGATAAAGCACCCTGATGCCCTGGCATTTTGTGGTCTCTGTCTGGTGGCTGTACTTTCGATCCAGTTGCTTAGATCACCATTGACCTTTCCTCTTTGCTATCCCTGCTGGAAAGTACTTATATACGTTGCTGTGTGTGATGCGACTTCAGAGCAGACTGCAGCCTGTCGTGCCGTTGTAGTGACTTTCTGAAGCTGACAAAGCACTTCAGGATTTTCCCTTGACCTTTGTGCATTTGTCCTAAATGAGGCTTAGCACAGAGTTCACTGCATCATGCATGTATCTTTGTAGAAATTGGTCTGCCCCTCATTGTCCTTTGAATCTCAGGAGGAACAAGATTTGTCAAGGCAGACGGTTGAAGGAGATTGCTTTGTGACTGGTGAGGTTCTGCAGGTAATCTTCCTTGGGAATCACCATCAAGGTTCACTTACTAATTTTTCCATAGGATGCTGTCTCCAGCTCTGATTTGTCCCTACTGGTACATGGTCTGTTCTTGACTGCTGTTCTGGTTGTTCTGCAGATTCTTCTAGCTAGTTGTCACTCAGCTAAGCTAAGGATATTTGGTTTTGCAAATCACTGGTTGTTTCTCCTCAACCTGTTATTTATGTAAATGGCCAGTCAGTACTCAACCGACACCCATCACACCCGTATTGTTCTCAAGCACACAAAGCCATCCTTGCTTTCAGTGATGCAGACTTTAGGCTCATATTTCCAGTTGCTAATACCAGGTGTTTCAAATGCCTGGTTCCACAGGGATTCCTTTAGGAAATTCCTCCATGTGCAGGACTGTTCTTTCAGCCAGCTTTGCTTATCTATCTTATTCAGTCTCGGGTTTCCAGGTAAAGGATGTGCTCCAATGTTAATAGCCTCTTTTAACACCCATTCTGTTCCATTGCACATCTGAGGTGGTTCACTGAGCAGGTAGTAAGTGAGGTTTAGAGTAATACCAGTTTTAAGTTTTACATCCTGAAAGTCCTGGCAGGTTCTATTAGTCCTTGTACCATGTTTCCAGTGCCTTCAGGTTGTACCTGATTGGCCTTTGCATCCCACCCTTCTCACAGGTTAATTCAAAGCGTGCTTGACTGCAGTTGAAGATAAGACAAGACTGACCTGACAAACCACCTCACCTGGTCAGCCTCCACCAGCGACCATCTGCATTTAACCAGCATCTTATTTATCAGGACAAGCTTCATCAGTGACATCTTAAATGGCTTTCTCATTCTCCCTGCTCTCCCTTCCATATCTTAATTGAGTCTAAACTTGACCATCTTATTTTACTGACAGAATTTGGGGCGCAGAGTTGCAGTGTCTGGTTTGAATGTAGGCGACTCATGGTCCCTATAAATCTGATGGATGTGGATGATGAATGTTATGAGTTCATGAATCTGGTGGCTCAAGAGAGGGAGACTGTTGCATTACCACAGCCCTAGGTGCTGCTGGTAGCAGAGCCAAGCTGCACAGGTACATTAGGCACAGGTACACACAGTGCCTATACGTGTGCCTATATACAGCTAGTCACACACGTCAACAGAGACAGAAAACGCAGAAAATGAAATGGCTTCATATTTTTTTTTTTAAAAAAAATTGAATTTATACAAAAAACAAAGATCCCTCCAGTACCTGGGGTTATACACTCAGCCTGTTAATTAGATGGCCCCCAGGTCTGTTAATTAGATGCATCCCCAGGCGTTGCCAGTTTCTAGCACTGGGACTTGCAAAGCCCCAAGGTCAGCAGCAGCACTCCAGTTGCTTCCACACAGATGGACACAAGGAGAGTTGCACAAAATATGGGACCGTTCAGTAATTGATTTTAGACACTCAGACTCTTCAATATCTGATCTCTGCATCCTCTGGTTTCCTGAATGCCTTGTGCATGTGCACACACACACGTGCAAATGGATCTCTCTGGCAGCTGGTGCAGAGCTATGGCCCTACCAGTAGCTGACCTGCAGCTCTTGTGCTCTCCCTGGTAGCTGGTTTGGACCTCCCAGCCCCTTGGGGTCAATTGCAAGGCCTTTCTCATTGATTAGCTGCTGGCTGTCATACCCAGACCACGGGCTGATCATTCGTGTGTGACGGTGCTGGAAATAACCAGGTCAGCTGCTCCTTGGCACCAGTTAGGTTATTGGGGCCCTTCCACATTCGGTGTTCCTCTGCTCCTTTGTTTTTATGGGGGTAAACTTTTCATCACACAACCTAGCGAAGAACAGAGTTCTGTGACCACAGTGAAAAGCGTTTAGACAACACTCTGGAAAGATTTGCTAACTGCAGTAATACTGGGATAGTAACACCAGATGGAAGAATGCTTTTGTCAAATTTGTTACAGGACTGAAATCAAATGCAGCAACTTATTATTATGCTTTAAGAATCCATAATTCCTATGTATACAGTAATAAAGTTGGTTTGATACAGATTTATACTAGCACAAGCATATTTTTATATATGACAGTTCAACCTTTGAGTATCATCTTTTATTAAAAATGTCGATGACTAGCACAAAAAAATCACTTCTATGTGATTTAGAGGGCAGTTTAATTGTGATATTAAAAATGTTAAGTGCTGGAGCATTTCAGTCTGAGGATCTATTTCAAACTTAATATTCTCAAAATGTCCTACTTAATATGATAAAATCTTGTACATTAGTTACTGCTAGGGTTTATTTGTAAGTCAATAAATGTATCTCTTATTATGGTTATGCTAAAGTAGTAAAGGAGGAGGAGAAGTCGTGGGTCATGGCTGAGTCAAGCCTACTAGTCGAGAAAACGTAGTGGTGATGCCAGTGGTAACAGAGACAGTCAGAGGATGTTTGCTCTTGTCATAATGAGCTATAAACTAACTCCTGGAATTTAAAGGTTCATAAAAGTGACTGCTCTTATGCAATAGAAAAAAAACATCCTGCATGCACAACTGCAAGCAGGGTGCTGACTCCTCCTGCTGTTACCAGATCCAAATTCATATGGGGAAACTCCCACTGCCTTAACAGGACACAGGGATAAAGCGGGTAGCATCTTGGTAAGTCTTAGCTGAGCACACACAGCTCAGCTGTGCTTCTGGCTGAGGCATTTACTCAGTATCATGGCCTGGACTTTCAGAACTCTTTTTATTTTTTTCTTCAATATACATCTAAAGTAGAATTTTAATACAGAAATAAACATCTGTATCTATTTACATTTAAAGCCCTGATTTATCTCTTGTTGATGTCATTGTGAATTTTCCCATGGTCTTTTAAAATGAGTTTACTGGAGTTCAAAAATAAACTCTTTAACAAATCATATTTTGTTTAGTAGAATAAACAAAAATCTCAGTCAAAGTCAGTGCAAACAAATTAAATGGTGAATGCTCTAGGGATTTTCAATCTTGATGTTCAGTATTAGATTATTCAATACGAGAAGTTGTTTTAATTTCCCCCAAGTGTCTGGATTTGTATAATGCAACATGGAGAGAAAAATACCTCAGTGTAATCACACACCTCTTGTCTCAGGCTCAAGAAGGGAACGTTGTGGGTACCGGATTTTGCGCCGCCATCGTAATTCAGAAGATCAAATGCATTGTATTGGCAAAACTAAGAAATACAGCGAGACAGCAACCCGTGTTAAAGAGATCCTGCTCAGCACGGTCAGTCCGGAGCAGTTTGTTTTAACGCTACTTGAAGCAGAGCCTCCCAATGTGTTGGTGAGTCGTCCCAGCAAACCCTTCACAGAGGCCTCCATGATGATGTCCCTGACAAAACTGGCAGATAAAGAGCTGGTTCATATGATTGGTTGGGCCAAAAAAATTCCTGGTAAGAATTTCAATCTTTTTTTGTTTATACTGACCAACACTGTTACCCTTAATATACTGTTCTCTGCCTTGAAATAATAGCATGGGACTGTGAATGCATAATATGAAAATCTTAAGCTTTTTATTCTAAAAGGGCAATGGACATTTTTTTTTGCTCTGAATAATTCATCTGAAGCTTAGACAGTGACCTTACACATAATTTGCTATCTAGTGTATTAGTTGCTCATAAAATGAAAAGCATACTCAGTGTTGCATGCAAATTCCACTTCATCTGCTAGAAATGTTTGATTCATCTGATTAAAGAAACTTCATAAAAAAGATGGTAACAAGAATGTTATAAAAAAGAAAAAAAAAAGACTAAATTCCTTCCTTCAACCCTGATGAAAGGTTTCTGTTTATGAAACCAGATGAAGAGTATTTAAGCACTGGGTGTCTGTAATTGCTTCTGCTCCCATAGTTGCTCCACAAGAGTATCAAATTGCTAAGCAGGGAACAATATCGATCTCAAAATTTATCCTGTGCCCTCATTCAAAACAGAAATCACCAGAGATGCTTTTCCTTGTTGGCAACACAAAGAACATGCACTAAAGTACAACTACCCCTGTTACAACCTGGAGTGTCTTGAACATGGCTACAGTGCCGTGGCAATGGGCCTTTTCCCTCCTTACAGTTGAGAAGCAATTGGTCAATATTTGCAACAAAAGGCCCATGGTTAAAGCAACCAGAATAAAGATCAAAAGGTAGAGTAAAAGCAGCCAGTGCATAGGGAAGGTAATTGGCAAACTGCAGGAAAACTTGCTGGCAGGCATAGACCATGGATGGTTGCTCTTCAGTGACTGCTAAGGTGACCAACTAAATAATAGTGAGCTAAAAGAAGCATCAGCTGAATGCAGCTTAATCCTTACCTTTGGAAATAGCACTTCGCTAGAAGTAATCCCTCTGGCAACGTGTGTTGTACACAGACTACGTGTCCCGCAGTGAGCCCAAGGCAGGCCTAGGCCTTGCCACTGCATAGGCATAGCCCAGGCAGCCTCAACGTTAATTCTTGCATCTGGTGATGAATTATGTGCTCTGGAGACTCAGGACAGGAAGGACATTGAGCTTCTAGGGAGGGTCCAGCAGAGAGCCATGAAGGTGATTAAGGGACTGGAGCATCTATCTTATGAGGAAAGACTAAGTGAGCTGGGCTTGTTTAGTCTGGAGAAGAGAAGAGAGAGGAGACTTGATCAACATGTTCAAGTACCTGAGGGGAGAATGTAGGGAGGATGCGGCCAGGCTCTTCAAGGTGGTGGCCAGTGACAGGACGAGGGGTAATGGATGTAAACTGAAACACAGGTAGTTCCATCTCCATATGAGGAAGAACTTCTTTCCTGTGAGGGTGACAGAGCCCTGGAACAGGCTGCCCAGAGAGGTTGTGGAATCTCCTCTGGAGATCTTCCAAACCCACCTGGATGCCACCCTGTGCCCCGTGCTCTGGGTGTCCCTGCTGGAGCAGGGGAGCTGAAGCAGGACTAGATGAACTCTAAAGGTCCCTTCCAATCTCAACCATTCTGTGATTCTATGCAACAGTTTTTGTGCAGACTACATCAGTAAACTAAGAATTTAGGATGAGGGAAGCTCATCCCAATTCAGGTCTAGTAGAGTGCTTGGAGCTGTTTTCAGTTCCAACTGTTGGGCACCATCTCCTAGTTGTGGGCTGCATCTCCACTGCTTGGCCACCCTCTTGGAGGGCTCCGATGAGATGGCTTGACTGTTGCCCAGTGCCTGCAAATTCCTGCTCCAACACGGTGTTCCTGGGAGAAGAAACCTGCACGGCACAAGCATCTGAAGCTGTCTTAGCCATTCGCAAAGGGACTTTTTTTTTTTTTTTTTTTTTTTTTTTTGCCATTAGTGTGGAATATTTCAAGATGAATCCTCAAATGCTTAATCCTTATTTGTCATGGTTTAAGATAATCTGAAAATGAAAATAGCTAGAAAGGACCAAGTGATGTTTATTAGGATATTATCTTGTCTGTTGAGTAAAACTTGACTGAAAGGTGCCATTTCTGGGGACACTATGCAGCCCTGTTAATTTGATAGGGAACGCATAGTGAGGAAAAAAAAAAGGAAAAGCAGTCTTACGAAACTACTTTATTGTAAGAAATTTTGACTGTAAAAAAAAAAAGTTTTTTCCTTTTTGAGGTTGTTCTTATTTTTGCTTTCTTGAAATACAGCAGTTTAAAAACAAAAAAAAAAATCAAAATAATTCCTGAAGTTCATTTAAACAAAAATCCAACTGTTGCTTTTCTGTCAGATTCCAAACAAACCCAGATTTGGACATTGCTCACTTTTAGTTTATTTTCAACACATGCCACATGTCAAGCCTTCTTCTCGGCAATAATTGAATTGTATGTAGAAAACCTGCTGAAAACTATCAAAGCCATTTGGACAGCTCTGCAGAATGAGGACCCTTTCTTGTGTACTTCTTTTTTTCTGATCACTTACATTACATAGAAAAGAGGTAATTGATATTTTTGAACAGATGTGATGTTTAGCGTGATCCCAATTATAATTAATATTGCCATATCACATGACAGCTACATCTACATACAAGTAACTGCTCTCTATTTTTTTTTTCTTTAAAAAAAAAAACAAAACGTGATGACTAAAGCTCAGGACAAAAGATGCCGCAATTTTCAAAAAGCCTTGCCTGGAGTTAATCATTTAGATGCATGTTCCAGTTCCTAGAGGTAAAACCTTTAAAAAAAAAATTGCGGAGTTCTTCATGAATAGCATAGGAAGCAGTAATTTTGCTTTCTGTAGAGCTATTTGTAAAGATACTTGCTTTTGTGTGACTGGATAAGAAACCCATTTTCACTTTCAGACTATTATTTGATATTATTTTGATGCTTACCAAAAGTGCAAGAAAAATCACTTTATTTTCTCCTGTATTATGTAGGCTAATATTAGCACTGACTTTTCCCCCAAATGGGAAAAGTAGAGGTTCACCTTTAATTATTTTTCCTTATCGTTAATATTTAATGACCTTGTTCTGCTTTGAGTCTTACTCTGGCTGTATTTTTGACTGTACTTCCAGCACAAGAAATTATAGTTTTGTTGTTGCTCCACAAAACAGCAGTTGCTTCCTAGCTTTGTTTCTCCTAAACTTCAAGTACTTGAATCCTAAGGCCTGACATAATTTCTATAATTGCCTTTAACTTTGTTGACCTTGTCCGAGAGAGTTGAACGCGGTTCATAGCTGCAACTGTGCTGCTAATCGATAGGATGTGTCATAATATTGAAGTTTGGATCCGTTATGCAACTTAGTTTGTTGCTGGCCAGAGCAGCGCAGCGTTGGACAGTCACTGCACATCAGCACAAGTTCTTCCTGCGTTCCTGTGGCATTTCATTTTAGTCATTTTTAAACAGAAAAGTAGGTATGGGGCACATGACTTAAAGGACATGTACTAGAGCCACGGAAAATTATGGATAGTTTAACATACTCTGCTGGAAATGAAGTGGGAGTTCTAATGGTGTGCTATGAGCTGATGGGTTGTCTCCAAGCTTTGAAAGCAAAGACTGTTCTGAAGAGAGATTTATGTTTGTAAGCCATGCAGTTGGTGCAGGACATACTCATTAGTAGAATGTGATGCCTGCAATCAAGTTGATTGTTTAAGTATGTGCAGATTGAATGTTGTGGCTTCCTGTGACATTGGTTCATCTGAAACTGTTTTTAAGCCAAACAACTGGTTGTTTTTGCTAGAGGAGGCAGTGGCAAACACACACGTCTGCTTTAACCTTAAGTTAAGAGAAACTTCTGAAGCATCTTTGAGCTTTTGTTTCTTAGGGAAATGACATTGTCAGTTTATACGATTCACCCTTCCAGGATTGTTTTGAAAAACATTTTTTTTTAAGTTGTGAGAGTTTGGGTCTGGGAGATGGTTGTTGGCAGTGAATTCTGCAGCAAATTCTATAGAGTGTGAAATCTGTAAGTGTAGCTCATGGGTTCCCCTTTCCTATCCTCATACATAAAAAATAAGGTTATTGCTACTAAAAGGTAGCCCTTTGGTCCCTGGTAAGAGAGAGTTTGTGTTATCCAGTTTCATTAATCTGTGGGTGTTACCAACTGCCTTCTAACCCAGTAGTTCAGTTAGACTAAATTACATGGAACACTTGTACAAGCTGCTGAGGGCAGATTTTTTTAAGACAGCAAATAGATAATATGTTTTTTAAGACCTCAAATAAGTGTTTGAGAAGAGCTACAAGGAACCCACCTGTCATGGTCTACTTGCATAATGATTTTCACTGTTCAGCGTCTTAGATGCTAACTCATCTAAACCTGAAGCACCTTTACCAAGACATCCGTCTTAAGCGTCTCCTCTCTGGAAACTTTGGCATGAACTTGGTTTTGAACGCAGGTGAAAACGGGTGAAATTAACAGGCCAATTTATCTGATGGTATTTTGATCATTTTAGGCTTTGTTGATCTCAGCCTGTATGACCAAGTAAGACTCTTGGAGAGCTGCTGGATGGAAGTTCTAATGATTGGTCTGATGTGGAGATCAATTGATCACCCTGGAAAACTAATTTTTGCACCAGACCTTGTTCTAGACAGGTAAGAAAAAAAGACTTTTCTAGAGCATTTCACATTGGCATGTTTGAAGGGAGCTGAACAGTGGGAGAAAGAGAAGTATCTATTGCAGATGCTACTGGTGTGTAACCACAGCATTTGTGATGGAGATGTCACTGAAGTTCCACGTGCTTCCAAGGGCAGACGAATGCTAAGCATAGACAGTATAACTGAATGACACCAACCTATGAGTTCCCTAATTTCTCTAGCATTTAACGGAGTCGAGTGCTGCTGTACTTTTAACCGACCTGTTGTCGATTTGCCATTTGATCCAGGTCTCTAGATGCCAAAATTATAGACACTTTATTAAAAAGTCTTAGTGTCAATTGATTCTCCTTTTTCCCCTCAAGAAAAACTAGACATAGTACCACACCATATTTGAATTAGGATGCATTTGATTATAGTTTCTCCCTTCTCCCTTTCTTCTTCTGTTTTTTGTGCTGCCCCAGAACCTTTCTGTGGCTTTATAGACAGCTTGTTGTGCAAATACTTGTAATATGGAAAGTTTTTTTCCGTAAAGAATATTTCCAACTTTTAAAACTTTCTTCATAGCATCATGTACCACAGGGTAGAACATAGATTAATATGGGTGTTTTTCTACAGGACCTAAGGAGGATTGGTCTGAGCTTCACATTGGTAAAAGTCAGAGTAACAATCTACTTTCTTCACTAGCTTTAAAGTATCTTTTAACCTTTTCAACCTGGAGAAATTCTCATCTGCGCTAGTACCGTGGTTTGAGCTAAATAATAAACATCAGAGTGTATATATAGAAGGCAAAGTGGATTAGTAAGGGAAGGGCAGTAAATTTAATTTGCAGAAGATTTGAAATAAATTGTGATTCACTCGCATGAAATTCAAAGCAAGGACATAGTGGGTTGTTCAATGAAATGATAAGAAATTGCCAAAAATGTCTGATACACTTTGTTCCTACGGGAGCTAATATGTGCTGAATAGAGTGCGCTTATTTGTTAGATTCCTTCGTCCCCACACGACAGCAGAGTGGGAATGAACAAGCATCTGGGCATTTGTTATTTTCTTCTTCTTAAGATATGCTTATATGAAGCTGGTCTGTAATTTGTACATTTATTTTTATCTTAGCTCAGTTTCAGGTACATTCCCTACCTGATCCCTGTAAACAAGAACTTTTCCAATGCTCATGTCTATCCTGAAACTGGCAGTGGACTCTCCTCTTCCAAGCCTTAAAATTCCCCCTTGCCATAGGGCACACTGGAAACTGGGCAATATTTGGGCTGCTGCCTTGTTTTAAGGAGTCCTCCTGTGGCTGCTTCATGGCCTGAGGGCTCAGCACCAATTTGGGGACCCAGGGGAGGAGCTGAGGCCTTCACTCCTGCACTGCTGTCCTTGAGTGCCTCATCCTAAACACCTTGCAAGGAAAAACCCCTTCTTACAGGCACTGTTTAAGCGCGTCACAAAGTGCAACTGAATTTTAAGTCCAAAAACAACAACAAAAAAGGAACATAACTTCAGTGTTTTTAAAATTGCTCTTTAATTTTAGACTCAATGGGATGTTTTAGGGTTTTCACTAGGGTTTTTTTTTAGGGATGTTTAGGGTTTTTGTTTTTTAGTTTAGGCACAATACTCATGTTCCAAAATATTTCTGTACATTTTTAGTATTTGAAATGGAGAAAGTTACATTCAGAATCACCCGCAAAAGTGAAAAATACATATCTATTTTGAATTAAGTGCCTGCAAATAAACAATGTTTTGCAAAGAAAAGATATTTCATTGTTTCCAAAAATTTGTTTTGATGAATCATTCTTATTCATCAAGTCCTTAGGCCTCTGTCAGGTACAAATAGTGATGTGGTGGTATTAGTTCCCTGTGCTACAAATCTGGAAAATGATTCAAGATGGTGCTGTGCTCTGCACTGTACTGCATAGCTTCAGGCTAACTATCCAGAATTCCACTGACCAGAGGTTAAAGCCTCTAGCAGAAATACAGTCACACTTACCTGTGGTCTAGCCTGCAAGCACTTTAAAATGCTTGAAAAAGAAAATCAGTTCCTCAGAGGTGCTGACCTTTTTGAATAATGTAATTTTCAATTTAGTTTTCATGGTGTAGCCTTTTGAATGCTCCCAGAGATAAGATGGGTAGATCTTTTTCACCGTTTTTATGCTATATCTTTTGTCGAGCTGAGTCAGAGTTCCATAATTTTACGTTTTTGGTAACATTTTCCATGTGTTTCTTCAGGGACGAGGGGAAGTGCGTAGAGGGAATTTTGGAAATCTTTGATATGCTCTTGGCCATGACCTCGCGGTTCCGAGAGCTGAAACTGCAGCACAAGGAGTACCTGTGTGTCAAGGCAATGATCCTCCTCAACTCCAGTGAGTACCTGGCTGCTTCTGACAGTCACCAAATTGTCCTTGTTGTTTAGAGGGTAACTGGGAAATTAGTCCTTAAAAACAGCAGAAATGCCAAGTGAGATAAAGTCATTAGAAGAGAAGAACAGGAGGAGGCTTCTAATCATCACTTTTTACTGTTTTTTTGCTCAAGAGATATCAAAGCTATGATATTTGCTGGATTTAGGGTCTATACCCCATTGTAAGGACTGCATGAAAGACCCAGAGTCTGAGAGCTTCCCCCAAGGTGGGTTCCTGGCCCAGAGCAGGGTGTGGATATGTCCTCTTCGATGGCAGTCCCTTGTGATCCATGAGAAATGTGGTCCTGTCTCTCTGGATTCTGAATCATGTGTGACCTTACTAGACAACCCTTAATAGAGCAAATTACTGAGCAACGATTAATTGTGCTTAAATATTCCTATTTAATTGTGATTGATTAAATTGTGCTTAAATATTCCTATTTAATTATGGTTAATTGGTAGGAATGATGAAAAGGATTCAACTGTCCTGCAAGATGAATTTGAGAACAGGAGCTTTGCTTTGCAGCGTCTTACGCACTCCTGTTTGCTGTGTGTGCAGGCCTGGTTTGGGACTGTCTGCAGTAAAATCATTTTATTCAAAATGTAAAGTCAAAAAACCTCTCTTTCCATGTCAAAGTTCATCTTTTAACGCTGACTTTCAAGATGTTTTGCAGCTTTGTCCTTGTTTCTTGAGGGGTGAGAGGTTGGTTTTGCCCAGGTCCCTTCTCAGGTAGGCAGTAGGGAGACCAGGACAGAGTTGATGTATGAGCAGTGTCTCCTACTGTGTTCTTCCTCTCTCCCTAAGGTAGGGGAAAAAAATCTTCTCTTCAAGAGAAGGAATTTTTCCAGCAAGGCAATATTAGGACAAGCATAGTACTATGGTTCCTAGTAGTTACTAAACCACACAAAAGAATTCTCTGGGAAGGGGAGAATACATCTATTCCCATACAGACTCCAAGAGTGGGGGATTCAGCCAGATTAAGGAATCTGGTTGAGCTCCTTGAGCAACTGTGTTCAAAATGTTATCGTAGAAAGATCAGGGACAGTTATTAAGTACACGTATGATGTGGCCATCAAACTCAGGCGAGGGAATATAAGACGGAGTTCGGTGGAGTACATTTTGCTAAATATTCCTGTGTCTCTTTCCTCTCTTTAGGTATGTTTCCACTGTCAGCAGAAGAACCTGAAAGCAACAGGAAGCTGCATCACCTGCTTAATGTAGTGACAGATGCTTTAGTGTGGGTAATTGCAAAGAGTGGGATCCCCTCACAGCAGCAGACAACTCGCCTGGCCAATTTGCTGATGCTGCTCTCCCATGTCCGACATGCAAGGTAATTCTGCAGAATGTATACTTGGACTTCTAAGGTTTTAGTGTTTGCTACAACAACAACAACTTTGGTTAAGCTCCAAGTTCAGCCTTAACTTACAGCTCTCCTGAGGTAATCTGGGCCCAGCTCTTCACTTCTGTTCATTCTGTTCAATTTCTCCTTCAAAACAGATTTGTGGTATTGAGTTTGGAGGCAGAAACTGTTCCCTGGGAACCATTTTTGTCCAAGACCAAATTTGTCATGTGTCCCAGGGGCAACTCTTAGTTCTCCTCTTTGGAACGTCACTTTTGCCAAGTGACGCGTGTGGTGCAGCCGTAGCACACGGCTGCTTCCCAAGGATCTCCCCTGCTCCTTGTCAGCTCCTGGAGCTCCTGGAATCCTCGCCTTTGCTGGGCATGCTGCAGACCCTCGCTACTGAGCAGGGCCCTGCAAACAGACACCTAACTTGGAAAGTTGTGCGTCCAGGGAAGTCTTTGTGAGAGCCCTGGGGCTGGTCGTGCAGACGAGGGATGGGCACGTCGGGCTGCGTGGGCTCAGCAGCAGAGGGACAGACACCTCCGAGGGGACGTCCCTGCCAGGAAGGGTGGCAGCAGCAGGGCACGGGCTGCGCCAGGGGCAGCTTTGCACACGCAGTCTGTGAACTGGCGGTGACTCTGAGAGCTGGTCCTGCAGCTTCCAGTGCAACCCCCAGCTGCACCTGCTTCCCAGCGCTGAGGGGCTGCTGTGATCTGGATTATTTTTGTGGGGGGAAACCCTGACCAGATGCAAACGGAATAGTTAATAGTTAATCCAAGGAGTGATGCAGCCACAAAGACCAGATGCATGTTATTTGTCAAAAAGTGACTTTTAAAGCCTGTAGCTGCCTGGGGGATCTAACCCTGGGCAGGATGGAGAGGAAACACACTGCTAGAAGTTAGCCAGTGTATTTTGGTGTCCATTCAGTCACTGGAAGTAGTTGCTGCAGCTGCTTACTGTAAATATACCTTTCATATAAAGGTGCACAGTGTGGACCTCCTGTATTTACAGTATCAAAGAGATTTTCTCTAGGACTTCAATAGGGCCAGCACATCTGAATCATTTTCTGAAGTCCATTTGCGTGGAATGAACAGTGGCTTCCTGGACAGTAAAACACTCAGCCCAAAAATATTTGGATGCTGTTACTGTTGGTAGTGTTGAGTGTCCCTTGGAGGCTACAGCAACTGGTTCCTCTGAACTCCTGGTGAGAAGAGGACTCCCTGGAAGCCGTGAATGTCTTGTCCCTCCCTGCACTGTTGGACCCAGGCCGCTGACCTGTTCTCTGTTCTCCTTCACAGTAACAAGGGAATGGAGCATCTCCTGAGCATGAAGTGCAAGAACGTGGTCCCGGTCTACGACTTGCTGCTGGAGATGTTGAATGCCCACACTCTCCGAGGGCAAAGGAAGTCCCCGATCACCAGCCCTGAATTTGGCCAGTTAGAACAGATGGAGCCTGGAGATGGTCTGTGAGACGGGGCAGCCCCCTAATTCCTTAGGGATCTGGAGTTAACAGTGTGAAGCTCATTCAGAGTTATGGGAGGAAACAAAGCTGCTGTGGTGAGACCATGGAAGATTAGGTGACTGAGTGCGAGTCGGCCTCTCTTTTAGATTTGCACGTGGGTATCTTGGGAAAAGCTCATGAGACACACAGCTTTGTCCATGTTTCTGACATTATAATAGCTGCACTTTTATAGTGCCTTTTCTGAGACTCTTCAAAAGCACCTTATGAAATTAAGCCTCAGAACATTACTGTGAGACAGGGAACTGCTGCCTCTCCTTTTTAAAAGTGGGTGAACAGCAAGGTGACAAAGTGAGTGGTTTAAGATGACAGAAGAAGTCTGTGTCAGGGCTAGGAGTCAGCTCCGAGGGGTCTTTTCTCCCAGACCAAGGTTTTCAAGCACTGATGAGGCTCTCTCCTCTTTTAGCATGGGGTAGTATGAAGTGTATGGCTGCATCGTTTGGGAGAGATTTGCTTCCCTGTGTGTGCTGGTCACTGGGGAGTATCTGCTCTGTACTTGATGGAGATAAAGTGCCGAGATGTACACACAGTGTAAAGCAGTCTCCTCCCTTCGTAAATATGCAAGGACTGCAAGGGGGACACTTAATCTGAAGGCCATTCAGAGTAGCTTCTAGGACCAATTTCGAGTCACTTCAGAAACGTAAAATCAAGCTTAAATTTATACTTTGTCAGCCTGTTCTTGGCACTCATGTTACTAGCTGTGTATAATTCTTCAGTGCTTTAAATGATGACCAAGCTGCCTGGTTCTTTCAGTCAATGCTAACTGCTGAAATGTGTTTGTCTGTGAGAATAACATGTTGTTTTATATATTTATTAACGATGTTGAACCTATCGTGATGCTTAGGTACAAAAGGCTGCTAGGTGAACGTTAACTGTTGGCATTCGTGTGTGATCTGCTGATCAGGGCACGTGAAACCACCTCGAAACAAACTGTCCTCGGGGCTGGTGCGGGGGACGCGGTGCCCGGTGCCCGTCGGACGCACTCGTGGCCTCCCTGTCTACGGGCAGCGCAGTGGGCAGGGAGCCAAACCTTCCCAAAAATGAGGGGGATGCCCCTTCTGGGGCTTCCTTTGCTTCCCATGTGCGATGACTTCTTTGAATCTCACTTGCAGTGTAGGTCTGAGCCCTCCTGCTGTGCTGGCTGCGGGAGCCAAAACGAGAAGTAGCCTAAAACCCCGGTGAGAAGCAGGACGGCGCCTTTTGTTCTGACCGCTGCCAGTCTTGCATTCGCTATGAGCAAGAACTGCAGTGACTGTAAATGGATATATATAAATATATTATCGATGCATGTTCTGAGCCTTTCAGGTAAGATGAAATGCCATTGGGATCACGCCTAAAGTCTATTTTGAGCCAAGTCAGTCTTTTGGATTAGGGACTTTGAGTATGCCCTTTGCATACTTGGGTATTAGTCAAACCTTTGCTGTTGGTGTTTTTTGAAGCCAAGGACAATGTTTTTTATAGGAGGGGCATAGAGTTTTCAGCAAGTTACACAAATCTGTAGTCTTGTTTTGATCTTGTAGACAACCAGAGGCTGATAATGGTCTAAATTTTTACTAGCTACGTTTTTATTGTTTTTAATAAAATGTAATATAGCAGTGTCCTTCTAAATGAATGTAATATTTACTACTACAAATGGAAAAAAATGTAAGTACAGTCTTGAATCATCGGTATTTGCTCCTTTTGGGTGACGTTCTGTTGTGAAGCAAGCACATTTCAGTGTTTCTTGGGCGTGATGTTTTGGCCAAAATGCCTGTTGTGTTGTGTGTGTCTCATTTTTCTCATCCTGTATAATTCTTTTTTTTTTTTTTTAATACAGTTTTCCAAAGAAATGTTTAAGTGATTTTTTTTTTGTTTTTGCTTTAAAAGTGCTGAGTTTGAGCAATCTTGAAATAAACCTCTTCAAAAGAAAATGGGAAAGTGGGAATAAATCTTAATTTTAACTTCTGAAAGGAACTCTCCTTTGCTCTGGGTTGACCTTGTAAAAAGGCAGTGGTGCAAATCCACTCCACACATTGGAATTGATATGTGCTGTTACTGGCAATGGATAAATAGGAAAATGCTGTGATTTGAACAAGGTTTTTTTCTTTTTCTTTTTTTCTTACAGAACCTCACAGTTTTTAAAGTTACTAAATTGTGTTTGAAAATAGGCAACAGCCAAGAGCTGCTGAAACCTTTGGGTTAACATAAGTCTCTTTATATTTGGAGAAATAGAAGTCCTGTCCCATTAAAATGACACAGTTTGTAAACAAGCAGCCGTGTGACAAAGTAAATGAACGAGACTGATGTCCTGAGTTTGGGTTTGGCACAGGTGGGATCGCGCGGCTTTGCTCAGATACTGGTGGTGAGCGTGACCTGCAGACAACGGTCGCAAAGCCACGATGCTTTTCAGTTAAAATATCCTGGGTTTCCCATTTGTGACGTGAATGAACGTGGTGCTGACGAACTGCGGCGGCCTGGGAGGGCCCTAGGGTGTTTTACAGGTTTCCTTTTCCCTTTGGTGCTGCATTTCGGGCCTTGTCCTGCCTCAGCCCCTGCCGCTGAGCCCAGGCCTTGCAGCCCTTGGGCTGCGGTTCTGCTCGTGGAGGGCAGCCCGGACGGGTCCTGTGGGAATCCCAACTGCCCAAGGAAACCCCAGGCCTCTCCCTTGAGCGCTGTCAAAAGCACTTTGCGATTCATCTCACGTGTGGAACTAAACTCTGACTGTGAAACAGCCTTGATTTGTGAGAAGTGAGGTGAGACTTGCATTTGCTTGAGGCAGATGTTTGATATCTGATTTGTCTCCGGGAATGTTGGCTTTTCCCCACACCTCCATGGCAAATTTAAACAGTTTTGGTGCCATCCACTGTGTTGCCGGGCAGGGGAGTGTGTGGGGAAGGTGTTGGGTTGTTCTCTTCGAGGCCCACGGCGTTCTCCAAGAAAGCAGTGGGCTAAGGGAGCCCACAAAGTGATTTTCTTTTTTTTTCTAATGAATGTGCATGTTTCCATGGATGTATCTGCTGTTAATTCCTTAATGATTGAAGTAGATTGGGACCTCGGGAGCGTTCGGATGAAGAGGGAGCATCTTTGTAAGGCTGGAGCTGCCACTTTTTCCCCTCTAATGGTGTTGGGTGTGGAAGACGTTCGTTGTGTTCGTGTCTAGAGTCGTTTCACAGAAATTTTCAGAGGGGGGGAAAAAAAAAAACCCGGGATTTTTTTTTTTTTTTTTTTTTTGAGACATTGGGAGATAATTTTGTGACAGTGCCTGGTATTATAGATTACATGAGCTCAATCATTTGGTATAACTGTACATAATGAAAGGAAATTGCAGCCTATGAGATTTTTTTTTTCCTTAGCCCTTTTCACATTGTTCCCTGCCCCCCACAGCACTTGCTTAGCAGCAGCTGCCTATTAGTCCTGGGCAGGAGGGTTTGCATGGGCATTTGTGACAACCTGGCAATGAAATAATGGTTAGAGTTGGCTGACGTCTACAGAAATAGAAACTTAAATGAGCTCCATGTGAAAGTAACTGCGTTCAAAATGCAGGATCATGGTAAATGGGAGCAGGCGGCCGCGCGCCTGTGCCGGGTGTTCCCAGCCGCTGTCCCCGCCGCGGCCCTGCGGTGCCCATGATGGGCTGCAGCACCTGCAGGCTGTGAAAGCTGCCCCAGCCTCCACCCTCCTCAGATGGGTGCAGGGGCTTTTAAACATGCTGGAGTTCAGGTGGGTCTACCTGAGGCTGCTGTTCGGACCCTTCAGTACGGAGCTAAGGGTGTCTCATGCTGTAGTTGAGCATGTAGTTAGGGTAGAGACTAGTGTGTTGTAGGATATCACTACTCTGAATCACCAGAAATGTAAACTTTGACTTCTGGGCCCAAGCTGCTCTGTTTGCCTGCAGGTAATGCATCACTTAATCTGGTTGCAGATTTTTTTTTTTTTTTTGTGCTTTTCTGCTGCTGGGCTTGGGAAGAAGCTGTTTGCTACAGGGACTTGTTCTGAGGCCCAGGCAAAGCACCTTCATCAATCCTCGTGCACCAAGCAGGGGAATAAGCTGCCAGCGCTGGTGACAAGTGTGGATGGGGCAGGAACAGCTCAGGGCAGATCCTGTTTTCTACAGGTCGGCTTTAAAGAACCCGGGTCCCCCCTTCCTAGGTGACTTTAATGCTAAAATCTTAGAGTGCCTGAAACAGTAGTGCCCTCCCTCACAGCTGCTGTACCTCACCCTTTGGAAAACCAGCTTCACCTGGGGTGAGGAGTTAGTTCAGCATTTTGTACTCGCACGAAGCCGGAGCTTGTTCAGCCTCGTGTTCCTCCTGCAGGCACTGCTGCTGTCCCACCACGTAGCCACTCCACAAGGCCCTGCAGCCACTGGCAGAATTTTATTGCGAATACTCAAACTGTACAACCGAGAAGCAATGTCAAAAGTGACTGTACACAGTGTTTCCTCTAGCCCTGGCCTGAAGTGTTAGTTTCATTTCAAAGACGAAGAATCTCAGAGTTAGTTATAAAAACGCACAATTCTTTCCCAAGATACTGTACACTATTCAGCAGCAGGTGAAAAACTGAAAAAATCTTTCATTAAAAAAAGTCATTACATAATCTGTATACATCAGGGATAGTCTACATAATTGATTTCATCTAGAAAATATGTGCATTATAAACCACTTCCATGCAATTTAACAATTTCTTAGTTCAGAGGTGGTATAAAAAGACAACACAGCCGTCCTACCCCCTAGAACACTGCATGTAAAACAAGTGCACACCCTCTTAGTGAATGTGTTAGGTGAATCAAATACAGTAAACAGATTCAAACAAAAATGTAGATTTTGTTTTTAAGAATATCAAAAGATACACATAATGTGAACTGTGTGCAACTGTCATTGCAGGCAAAGTGCCTCTTTTTAAATGCAACCCATGACCAATTGCTCTGCATAACATTACTGTGATGTAGCTCCTGCATCTGTGTTTTTGAATTGTATTTGATAAATGTGAAAGCCTAAGATCACTGTAGCTAAAAAAATTGCATCTATTGCATCAAAGTATAAACTGTGTTGGCTTATAGTTTAAAAATCTCTAGAAAAAAGTTTGTTTTCTGTACAAAAAGAGTCGAACTTCTGTCAAGATATACATTTTAAGTGAGTGGTGAAAATTCCCCCATTCCCTGTGGCAGGGACAGGCTGTAGCGGCGGCGGGGCAGGACGCGGTGCGGCGGTGGCTGCTCCGGGGACGCGCACGGCTCCGCGGTGCGGAGACGCCGGCAGCGCGGGCAGCGCCGGCTGAGGGCTTGGGCACAGCTGCTCCTCCCCGGCCGCGCTCTAGGTCGGGGGAGGCCCGTTGGTGTATCGCAGCATGGGGTAGAAGGAGCGGGCGAAGTTGTTGGCCTGGGTGCAGCTGTAGTCCTCCTCGGAGGAGGGAATCATGCAGGCCAGCAGCAGGAGCAGCAGGAAGAGCAGCTGGAGGGGCAGAGCTGCCCGTAACACGCGGTAGAAGAAGGAGGGGGCCCGAGGAGCCGCCTGAGGAGCGCACGGGTGGCTCCCACCTCTGAAAGGGAACAAAAACATGAGTGAGTTTAAATGGAGTAAGTTATTTTGACTCCCTCTCTAAGGGCTTCACTATCCTTACAAGGTGCAGGGCTGTATCACTACAGAAAAATGCAACCCGCACAAAAAAAAAATAGAGCTTGAAATCATGTGAAACTGCTCAGCTGGTGCCTTGGGTTTTCCTTCCTGCAAGATTCCCTTGCAACAGCTCTCACCAGTGGGGTTTTACCCATCTCAGTTTTCCCAGCAGAGGAAGAAATCGCTCTAAGTGGCTGCTGAGGTGTGAGGAAAGGCACAATTTGGGCTGAGCAGCCCCGTTCTGCACTGGACTGAGAGCTCAGTCCTTTGAACAGACTCCAGCTATGGGATACATAACGTTCTGAGTCCTTCAGGGTCACTTTTTACAAAGTTACAAGTTTCTTTCTCTTTCTTCCACATGCCAGTGGAATTAAAGGAACATTTAAAATTAAAATATTCTCCATCTGACACCAAAAAAGGAATACTTTCTCAAGAGTGAATACAAGACAAGGCTGCAATCACTGCACAGAGGCTTAGGAGAAGAGATGCCAAAGGAAAACGGCTCCCCAAGAGGCAGAGGAGATGCCACACGTAGGCAGGAATCACCTCCACGTGTACAGAAGCCAAAGGATAAAGAACAGATGTCTCTCCTTTCTCTGTCTTGCGCTCTGCTCGCTTCTGCCATTACTACTGCTCTTTAAAGACAGCAGGACAAAATAAAATACTACCTGGTGCTGCTTTTGCCAGTTACAGTTCTCCGTAAAGCGGCCTGTTGAGAGAAATAGCTTTTATTATCCAGCTTTGACAAACTATAGCTAAGACTTTCTTACTCAAAAACGGCAGCTGTAAACTGTTAAGTCTTGTTGTACATTCTCTAATAAGATATGCGCGTCTAAAAGGTAAACTAGTCACACCCGAGCAAGTTGTAGGCTATTTCCAAATATGCAATATGCTGACAGTGTAAATATCAGGGGGGGAAAAAAAAATAAAAATAAAAAATAAAAGACTTGCCTTCTTTACAGGAGGGCTGGATCTTGCTGTCACTGGATGATAGGCTCCTGAGTCCATGTCATCCGGGACTGGCAGGGCTTTTTGCACTGCTGTCCTGCAAGGAAACCACACATTCCTCTTACAAGTGCGTATTAAAACTCAACACAAATGAAATGCAAAAAGTTGTCTTTGATGCCTCTCTATAGGTGCACAACCAGGTAACTCTTTACATGGGCACAGCCAAGTGAGAAAACAGATGCTCCAATTTTTCTGTCCCAGGCAAATATTTTGCCATGCAGAGCCAGAACGGTGCTGGAGCAGACGTGTGTACAGGTATTGGCATGAGAACACCCCACCTGACAACTCTGATGGACAACTTCTGCACTGCTGTGGACTACTTACCTCCCCCGTGATGTGTACACACATCTAATCTCATGTTTGCTAAGGGTCACGGGATAAATAGGGTGGAAGGGACCTCAGGAAGTTTATCTACTCCAAACCTTCTGCTGAAAGCAGGTTCAGATTGGATCCGGTTACTCAGGACTTTATCCAGTCTGATCCTGAAATCCCTGAAGGATGGTGACTGCATGGCCTAGCTGGGCAATCTGTGCCAATACCCGAGTAGCCTCATGGTGAAACAGTTTTATCCTTATATCTGGTCAGGACTGTTCTTGTTTCAATTCATGGAGGTGGAAGTACTTAAGTTTTAAGTCAGTCTTTTAGAAACAATTTTACTCTAAGTTGTTTTTTTCAGTAAGATCCATAAATAAGTATTTAGACTTTGACTCACCAGATTTGCTTGTATTGTTTTCAAGTCATGTGAAACTTGCTCAATGAGCTGTTTCAGTTTCTTTCCGATAACATGGACCTTCTCATCAGCTTCAATGTAATCTTCACCATCTGATTTAAGCAGCAGGTGAGTGGAGAGTTCTTGGAGGGAGTTTACTTTAAGCTGCTGTTCCAGCAGCTCTTTCTCCAGTTGCTTAAGAAAAGAGAAACAAACAAACAAGCCCATCAGAACAAACTATTGCTCTCAGCTTTGAGCCTGTTATCGGAAAAGGAAAACTTTTGAAAAACTATTTAAAGAACAACTCAACCTTCCCAACACGTCACAACGCACCGGAATGGGTGCTATAAAAGGAATTAAGTTCTCTTAAAATCCCGCTGCACCTGCTTAAACTTGGATGTGAAATAATTCTGGCAGTAATTAAGCCATAGGGATCAACCCTAAACTGGGGATGTTGGGGGGTCTTATTCCAGAATAAGGACTGTCCATAAGCATCTTAATTATGATCCTGAATTCTGGAAAGATACAGACAATCTCTTAGCCCATTGCAGAAACCTGCCCATGTGCCTGTTGGGTGGAGCCCTCCAGGGAGGGGCCGTGGAGAATGAACTGCGTTTGCAGCGAGTTCCTGCCTGGCGGGAGGGCCCCGAGCTGCCCCACTCACCATCAGCTCCTTCTGGCTCTCCAGGACCGCGTGGGGGTCAGCGTTTGGCTCCGTGACCTGCACCTCCTTCCTCCGGCTTTCAGCACTTGCCAACCACAGCAGCAGCCTTTGACTCTGTTCATGGAAGTCCTGGAGAAACAAGTAAAGATTTGTGCATAAGAGAAAACAAAACAAACCCAAACCTTAGAGGTGCTTTCACCTGCGTTTGCCTGTGAATAGAACGAACAGCCACGAATAGAAAGAGCCGATGTAAATTCATGATTAGGGAGATTTTAGCAAGCGAGCCCATCTGTATCGCAGAACACCCAGGTCAAAGATTTTTACCAAACCCTTCCAGCCCCGGGAAGTCAAGTTTGTATTACAAAGAGAACATCGGTCTTGGCCTCTGAGCAACCCCTCCACGTGGGGGCAGGAGTTACCCCGTCTCGTCCCCGCGCCCCACGGCGCTGTCCCTGCCGCGGTGCCGCTCGGTACCTGGCAGCGCAGCAGCTGTATCGCAGAACACCCAGGTCAAAGATTTTTACCAAACCCTTCCAGCCCCGGGAAGTCAAGTTTGTATTACAAAGAGAACATCGGTCTTGGCCTCTGAGCAACCCCTCCACGTGGGGGCAGGAGTTACCCCGTCTCGTCCCCGCGCCCCACGGCGCTGTCCCTGCCGCGGTGCCGCTCGGTACCTGGCAGCGCAGCAGGCACTGCTGCAGGCCCTTCCTCCAGCCGCGCAGCGCCTGCGCCGCCTTCTCCCAGCGCAGGTTCAGCTGCCGCAGCCGGTTCTGCAGCTCCTTGCACTCGGTGCCGTCCGCTTGCCGGAAGTCCTTGCTACTCAGGTTGACTGAGAGCACCACGGCCTTGTAGGTATCAAATGCTTTAAGCAGGTCCTGGTGGGAAGGTAGAGCAGGAGCTTCTATGACTGACTGGATACATCTTGTTTATTTACCATATAGCTATGCACGCAGAACAACTACAGGCACTGGGGAAAGCAGCTGGCATTTGAATGACCTTTCAGACACTACTGAGCAGTGCATTAAAGTAGTTTCTTGGATTTTGTTTTCTGCTTTTAAAGCCAAGGCCTTCATGCTGAAGGCAACGAACCCAGTTGGGCCTGCACTTCTGCCTCAGTGACAGGCATCATGGCTTAATCCCACAGCTGCCCTTCATTTCCATGGGCTCAGTATTTCTGTCTCTCTTCCTGACATTTGGGAAGATATTCCCAGAGATCATCACATGGTATTTCCTCTTGTTTATACGGTTTCAGTTGGTGTCTGCTGCCTTTTGTCCTGTCCTTGGGCACCACTGGGAAAAAGGGAAGTCTCTAGTCCATCTTCTGCTTAAAGCAGGACCAGCTTCAAACTCAGCGCGGGTTGCTCAGGACTTCATTCTGCTCAGAAGTTTGAGCGTCTCCCAGGCTAGAGGTGATACCCACCTTCCGAAGCAGGCCCCCAAACTGTCAGACACTCTATATCTCCTGCCTCGGCAGAACTGCTGCCAGCCCTTGCTGCAGTCTGTCAGATCCCTGCAGCAGCAGCCCTGCCTGCCTTCCTCTCCTTCCTTAGGACTGCAGCCGAACGATGTGTCCTGTCCTGAGGACTTTTAAAGCTGGGCACTCTTGCACTAGGGAAGAGTTGCAAGATGAGCCCTGCAATCAGCACAGCACTGACTGCTGTTTTCCAGTAGTCTTTGTAACTAAGCATCTCCTGCATTTCCTCAACTAGCTGATTACAGGTGATAGAGCCAAAGGCACTTGCAATCAGCACAGCACTGACTGCTGTTACAGGTGATAGAGCCAAAGGTGCTGTTTACAGCTAAGATATATATATATATTTTTTTCAAATATTGCCTCATTAAAGAATAGCTTTAGGGCAGGCCTTGCTTAGTGTCCCTGTTTGAACTGCAACCCCTTTCCCAATTAATTCAATTGAAAAAGACATCCCACACAGCCTAGTCAGTAGCCTAGCTCACTTACAACCCTTTCCTCGTTTGCTTGGGGGGTGTATGTGTGCATGCACACAGAACAAGGAAGAATCCAAACATCCATGCTCAGAATTATGTACTTCCCTCCCAATATAAGGCCAGCCCATAAACATTTGGCAAGTCCAAGTCATTTGTTTAATTTTGTAAACTTTGCTTAACACAGATAACTTTGTTTACCTTTTAAAACAAAAACTCTAAAAGAGAGAAGTTTTGGGTTCGGTGGTTTTGTTCAGAGGGAATAAATTGTCTTGGTAAGGAAAGAGAAAGGGAGAGATTTTTTACTCCAGGCAACTCTGGCTGCCTGTTGTGACATCTCCTGCAAAGCTACACGGACGAAGGCAGAAGCATTTTGCTTAACTAGCCTCTTTAGCCCTCTCAGCTGAAAACAGCTCAGCTGCTCTTCGGAACATGCACGTTGCTATTAGCTTTGGTGCTGCCTACTCATCCCAGCAGCACCAGAGACAAAGAGCATCAGCATCGTGAAATCCCCTTCCCGGCTCGCTGCAACTTGCCTTCAGTTTCCTGACCCTTTGCTCCAGCACCTGCATGCTGCTTGGAGGAGGCGCTCTTTGCAGCTCTTCCAGCTCTTCCTCGGTCTCATCCAGCCAGGTGGAGACGTCGCTGAGATCCGAGTTCAGCTGCTGCCACTGCTGCAAGTTCTGTTTCATCCTGAGTTTATTTCTGAGGTCCTGAGCCTGGATGAGCTCCCATCTATCAATGATGCCTACAAGCACCATAACAGTAAATGTTTAAATCATCAATAAGGTCAACATTGTGTAAAACAGGTGCAGGCAGCTTGATAAGTAATTTATGTTTCAACCTGCTTAAGGCCAAATAATTCCTACCATGTACAACTCTTATCCAGAAACTGTTGTTCTTGAGATTATGCAGTCAATATTTTTCTTGTTACTGGTTACTAAGTAGCTACTTATGAAATCTAACCATATTAATAAATTAATTGAAGAGGGTTTTAATTCAGCTGGAAGAATAGACTAAGTGCAAGGAGAGGAAATATAACGAGTCTAGTTTTGACTCAGAATGCATAAAAATTCATCATGAGACATCACAATTCATCACAAAATCTGATCCAGCAGTTAGGACCTGGGTTTACATCTATTCAGTGCTAACGGAGATGGGAAATGCCACCTGTACATGTACCATTAACTAATGCTGTGTCTGGAAGCCTATCCAGATCTTTGACAAAGATTTTTCTGTTCCCCATGTAGGGGACCCAACCCTGGCCCATTTGTGAGAGCAGAGGCATTAACTAACATGTTCACATGGCCACATTTGCCTTTCACCACTTGATTTGCTTTTGTAACTACAGTACAGACATGATCTTACTACAATCTCAAGCACCTGAAAGCAGAAATGGGGTCTCAAGGGGTTAAGAAAACCAGCTTCTTGCCCTGTTTAGAAGAAAGGACCACAGTGAAGAACAGAGTACAGTGGCAGCTTTGATTGACAAAATGTTTCTGGAAATGGGAGCTGTAGTACCTTTTCATATGATGTATCAAGGCCTAAGAGAACAAACTATGGTAGTTTTGTTTCAGACAAGGAGGGACCCACTCCTTGGGTCTGAAATCTGATTAAGAGTCTCAGAAGTAGCCTGTATCCAGACAAAAGTGAAATTGTTCCCGTTCATTCCAACCAGATATAAGTTAAACAATTACAAAGGACAGAAATCTCAGTTCTGACAGAAAATGTACAGGCTGGGAAGAGCCAGCACATTGGTATAGGTTGGATGATGTCAGGTGAGAAGGCAGCGCCTTCTCAGAGGATACAGCAAATGCCCCAGCTTGGAGCACAGCAGCTCCCTTCTGGTTTGCTCCCAGGAGGGCTGCCTGCCTTTGTGGCATCTCTGCTCTGTCTCCCCGAGAGCCACAGGGCAAACCCCCCTGCACCAAAGCCAAGCTCAGCGCCCGCACGCGCCGTACCTGCTGCCTCCGGCTTCTCCGCAGCCGCTATGCTCTCGAGCTCCTGCTCATCCTGGGGCTCCTCGTCACTCGTGGTACCTGTCTCATTGCAGATGCTGCCGCTGCTCATGGGCCTGAGCTGCTTCGCCTGGAAGGACAGTCGGTGGGTCAGGGTGAGCCCTGCAGGCTCCTAACAGGCTCTGAGAGGTAGCGATACTGCAATTTAACAGACCCACACCACAGTGACACCAGTTGGTACAAGACTGGACACATCTGCAACTTAATTGCTTTTGCACTACATGGGCCAGACGAGCTACATCTGCTGGTGCCGTTTACTGGATTCCAGGACTTGGCGATATGGACTCCAAAGCAACGGATCTGATGAGCAGTGACAAAGGCAGCCAGACCCCAGCACCCCCTGTGCCGGCCGGCACCGCCAGGCCGAGGCGGCAGCGCAGCGGGCACCTCTCCTTCTGCCAGCACCTTCTGGGCAGGTTTTGAGTGTCCACAAGGGGGTTAAATAGCGAGCTGCTAGAAATAACCATCCCTATGAGTTGTCTTGAAACATAAATATATGGAAGTGAATATCAAGAGAGGGTATTTGCACCCCCACCTGGGACAGTGAAGTCCTCCTAGACTTGTCCTGCTGTGACGATAGAGAAATCAGGGTCCTCCAGGCCCTGACTCAGACCAGGAAACTAACATGACTGCTCTGAATTGCTTCAGACGAGTCCTCTGAGCAAGGGGATGAAGGGAGAGACTCTCCCTTGTTAGCCAAGCTGCCAGAAAGAACGTCTCACTTGCATAAATTGTGCTGCCCCTGCTCCCAGTATGTTCCTTGGTGTTGGAGGAGGAAGAGGATGGGGTGATACAGGAATAAACGAGACTGTTTATGACAGGCTCGGTGCCCACGAAGCCCCCAACTCACATAGCCGGGCTTGTAGGGGGTGCTCGTCTCCGGCCCAGACAACACGTTTCCAGCCATCTCCGCCTGGTTGTATCGGTGCTTCCTACGGGCTGTACCTGGGGAGTGCCAGGGATGGGCTTCTGCAGCAGCTTTTCCTGAAACAAACACAATCAAAATCACACGCCGTGAATGCCAAGCCCATCTCCACCAAAAAGCTGTTGCTTTGTAGTAAGTTAGAAAGCGCTCTGAATAAAATGGCATCAAGTTATGGCATAAAAACGACAGTTTTGCAGCTTTCTTTGCAAAGCATGCACATTTGCAAAACATAACAGTGTTTCAAAGGTAATGAGATGAGAGCCATGCAGTTATGGGACTTTCTCTTTTCTTCTGGAAAATGTCTGAATACAAATATGAGTAAAATAAATAAATAAACAAAAAGGCTACACTGTGGTTTTGGAGAGTTTGCATCCTGATGATATATCACGTATCTGCAATGCATTTTAGGAGTCAAAAGTTTATACAAGTCCCGATGTGGGGAACGTTCATTTGGGATTTAATTGGCAGGACACCCACGGTGCTGTTGTGCACAATGCAAAACGCTAGAAATATTTGCAGAGTTGAAACTTTTCCTTAGTAATTAGGCAATTGAAACCAGAAACAACCAAAAAAGGTGATGCTACCCAGCGCAAACCACCAAGAAAGTACCAAAAGGCTTCAGATTAATACAATGAAATGCACATTAACCACCTTGGCATTTGCCAGGCAAAATCTAAATGGCATGTTTGTGACTGCTTGGTAATGTACAGGTGAATGCTGCAGCGTAAGAGCACCATGGCAGGATGATGCGTGGTGTCCACACAAGGCAGGAAGGCAGACGTTATGTATGAGAGAGGTTGAGGAACACAGCGTGCAGCACAGGGAGGTTGCCATGTTCAGACACATGCACTAGCAGGTGCCTACCAGAAGACGCTTTCAAAGTTTTTGTGGTCATTTTAAGATATGCCTCAGGATTTTCAGTGATTTCTACATCTGAAAAAAGAATAATGTCATTTTCCTCACTATTCAATAATTTCCAGCTTTTAAAAAGAAACATTTGAAACAATGAGGGAAAAGAAAGGCCAAAAACCAAACCAAAAGTGGCTGTTTCTTTTTTTTTTTTTTTTTTTAATTAGACATTCTTAAAAAGTAAGGTTTCTAAAAACGTGTTTCTGAAAATGTAAGGTTGGTTTGGACAAGCCAGTATCCCGAGGAGATTGGACTGCCCACAGTTACTGAGAGTACTTGAAAACCAACCAGGTGGGAGCAAGAGCTCAGTCCCCTTCCTTCCCCCACGGGACATCCTGCAATTGTCCAGCTCACAACAACGCCTGGCAGTCAGTCCTCACCTGACAAAGCACTGTAGTAGGTGCCTTCTTCCTCATCCTCATGGGAGGAAGAGCCCCCCACATCACCTGTGTGATCCCACTCGAGCGGGATGGAGTCAACACTGACGGGGGTCTCACAGCCTGATCTTTCATGACCTTGAGTCGCTGGCACAAGGTGACAAAGGGACTGTGGGGAAGGGGGCACCTCATTGATGGCCCTCTTATGCCAGGGATCATTCTGCATTTCTCTGGAGTCTTCGGGATCCGTCTCATTTTCAGAAGTCTCTTTCTCATCATCCAGTCCCTAAAAATAACAAATAATTATTGCATGTTAGTAAGAATTATAATCAATCCCTGCTGCTCAATAAGCTAATGATTGAGCAACTGCTACTGGAGACTGTTTTGTGGTCAGCAGACCCCATGTGCCTCAAATTAAACCTAATTTCTGCCTCCTTCCTCTTCGCCAAAACAACCCTCACATCAGCCAGCACCAAAACACTTCTCTTAGCTCTGCAAAAAGGGATACCCAGTTCCAAGCAGACCAAAGAGCTCAGCAATGAAATGCTGCTCAGAGGGTGAACAGCTACTTGCAGATGCTCAGGTTTGCTGCTTCCTCTGTCGGATGTTTTAATAGATGTTCTTTCTTTTCAAGCCAAAGCCAAATGTTTCCACTGAAAAGTAAAGAGCGAGCTTTTCCCTGATCAGGGTTGCCATGAGAAAGTGGCCAGACAGAGTCTAACAAATGTATAAAGAGATACTCAAAGCACATTATTGAAATTAAAGAAAACAGGAAGTGATTAATATATACGTACATATATATTAAAAAAAAAAAAAGAAAAAGAGAAAAAAGCTTTAAAAGCCCTCAAGCCATCTAAATACTAACCCTGTGTATTACTGCCATGCTATTATCCAGATTCTGCAGATGAAGACCCAGCAGGGGAGGCATGGGGAAACATGGCTGCTGAAGACAGAAATTTAGCAAAGCTGCTGCAACTACTGAGATGTTCCTGACCCCTTGGGGCTCAATCTACCCAGTCAAGCTGCTATGGATAAGCAATGAATATTGCAATTCCAACTCCAAAATCCCACTAAAGCATCAAAATGGCTCTTGTTTCTTACAGGATGCCTGGAAGTCAGTCTTCGATGGAAGCGGGCAACGCGTCCAAACACTTCCTGACAGTATCTATGAAGTTCTTCCAATTCATCTTCAATCAGGATAGCATCCATAGGCTCGCTCTTCTGAATCAGCTGCTCCCCAAAAACAATTAGCTGATCAATCTTATTGGTGTTTAACGTTATTTCTTGCTGGAAACCCTATTTGGAACATAAAAGAAAAATTATTACTTCTGCAGTGTCCCTTTCTAGCCTGAGGTTTGTCCTCCTCTTCTAGTTCAGTGCAGTGAAAAATGAATCTAGCAATTAACACTGGTGTCTAATTTCCTTTAGCAAATATCTTTTCACCAAAGTTGTGCAAAGGTTTTTTAGCAGGATTACGGTTCCAAATGAAGTGGCATTTTCCACCTGTGTGCATGCATCAATATGACTGGAGTATCCTGAGCCTGTAGGGGATCTGGGTGTGAGAATTCAGATAAGTGGGGTTTCTTCTGTCATTGGTTACCTGCAATCTTATTCACAGTAGCAGAGAAGTTTGGGTAACTGGACCTGCAAAGAGTCTACTTCCCAACAAATCTACATCCCAACGCAGTGTGAGGGAGAAGGGGAAAATCAGCCGATGAGCCAGCAGCAAAGAATTAGCCTGGTCTTTAGAAACATTACATACATGTGCCCATTTCTGTTTAACAGCCCCAATTACAACCAATGCACTCAGAGAGGAGATCCTAGCTTAATGTTGGTTCAGAAAAAAATCTCACCAGAAAAATCGCCTGAAATTAGGGATGTGGCTTTTACTGTTAACCCCCAGGTGCTCCTCACATCAGATATCACTGTCACTGACATCAAGGTGTTAGGAGAAAACAGCAAGAGGAAACCGAGCATTTGAATCCTGAATCTGGCTGATCTTGACTCAGAGAATAAGTGTATTGGTATCTTATAACAAACACAGAGACCTGCTGGCTCTGAAGAAGTTCCAGAAACGTAGGAGATACTATCAAGAGAAAGGAGCCCAGCAGGATCAGCTGGGCTGTACTGAACAACTGCTCTACAAGGATACATACGTTTAACTGGCGCATTTTGTCATCGAAGTTACTTTTTGAGAAGTGCTCCACGTTGGTCAGCTGGAGGTCCATTTCTGTGAGCCACACAATGATGCTCTCCCTCGTGCCCTCAAACTCATCTCTGCGATTGGTGAAGTGCTGAGGAGCAGGAAAGGAGCCAACATTACAGTCATGGAATTACAGAGAAAAGCTGGTCATAGGAGCCCTCTGAAAATAATGTTTTGTTTAAAGATTGCTGCTGACCTTAAAGGTCACGAGGACACCAATTGCAGCTTGTCACACACATTAACTGCCCCCTTCCTGCAGTGATTCTGGCAGAAAGCGTCCTATGCTGGTAGGTTATTCCTCTGGGAGAGGGAATAAACTTCAATAGTAGAGGATGCTTGTATAAAAAATGATATTGCTTCCTCACTGCATAACAAATATACCTTCTCCCACATCCTTATACCACTGCAACAGTCATTCAGACTCAGGGTTAAGTATCTGATTTGTTTTAGATTTAGAAAAGTGTTAGACAAAGGAATCAGCCCCATCTCTAATCAAGCTCAGGTAATTAAAGCTACAACATTAAAATCAGCCAAACGATGGGGAGGCTGGAACACGGGCACCCACACAAGTGTCATGAATGCACTGCTTGGCATGGAAGGCAGGAGATGGTCTCTCTGCTGCCATCTCCTGCAAAAAGCTTCACACAAAGCAGCTTTTAGTGCGCAGGTTCTCAGAGGTCAGGGAGGAGATTATTTAACACCCCAAATATGACAGCTTCTACCTGCCTGGCTCAAACCCCTTCACTTCTCTCCCAGCCTCACCCACTGGCTTTGGGGACCTCATAATTTTCCCTTGCTTGTAGCCTTGCTGTACTTAAAGCCCTGCTGCATTTAAGAAACAGGCAGGAGCAACTTTCTACTACTGCGGAGCACAGGAAACCTGCTCAGAAATTGGTTTAACTGGACTAGAGAAAAAATAACCCTCAGCAGAAGTGTCACAGAACCACGTTTGCAGCCACTCTTTACCTATGCCTCCTTGGTTAGCTGGAAGCCTTTGTCAAGGCCATATTTATACCATATACTCAGTGAGCTCTTTCAAAGCTGCTCTCCCACGTTGGTAACTCAAGTCCACTAATGCTGGTACACAAACCAGCACAAGGTGGTTACTCCAGCATGGGCTTCGCCCTTGGTAATTCCTGTAGGAACCTGTAAGAGCTTCTCACTGTCTCTCCCCAACCCTGCAGTTACCTTGAGCCTCCTCAGAACGGCAGCGACTCGTTTCTGGAGGTTATCCCAGCGCTGGTTGCCCTCGTGGACCATCTGCTTCAGCTTGCTGGCCGAGTCGGTGCGGTTCTCACGCGCGAGGCGCCTGTACTGCTTATTGATGAGCTCCAGCTGAGTGAGGCGCTCATGGATTTGCCGCTGGAAAGCCTGGAAAATGGACAAACTCGCATGCCTTGCCCAAAGCAGAAAGGATTGGTGGGATGCTATCTATCAAGAGAAATGCCCCTTCCCTTCAAAAAATACACCTTGCAACATCTTCAAAGTTAAATCCAGAGATGGCCCCATATTTTTTTTATCACCAGAATCAACCATCCCTGCTCAGATTTAGGAGAAGAAAACAAACAAAAGTCATCCCACAAAGGTGTCCAGGTTTCCTACAAAAAGCAAATTTTTAACTTACACGCAGCATCTTGTCAGTGCTGACTATTGGATTCTCTACATAAACCCCCGGAGGCAAATGAGCTGGTCGGCTGCCTCGCAGCCAGGCACTGCTCAGTTATTTACGTCGTGTGAACCACCACCTCCGAGACACAGGCATCTCGCACGGCCATAAGCATTCAGCAACCTCACCACAGCCTGCTGCTGAGCATAAAAAGCTAAAGGCAAAGAATTTACCTCAAACCTCTTCAGCTCCTCCTTCGCATTTGTGTACAGAACCTCTGACGAATGGGGTTCAGCTGCCATCTTCTCAGCTGGAATCAACCAACTTTCAAAGCGCGAATAGTCATCCAAAAACCTCTGCCACAAGCGCCAGGTTTCCTCGATTCTGAGGAGCAGATGCAAAAATGGAAGAGTTTTATCACAAGCTTGACCATTCATTTTGAGTTTCATCTCCAGTACTCAGTTTTTAGCAAAAGCAACAGTGTTTCCTCAAAGTTCTGCCCCAGATTCTCTTGCAATGGTCAGGAAAAAAGCCACTCACTTCATTCGTCTCTCCATAGACATGGCACAGATGTTTCTCCACCGTCTGTCCAAGCTCCTGGTCGTCTGCTGGATGGAGTCACACTCTGTCTCATTAGCACACGCATCCGAGTCATGCAGCAGGACCTCGCAGATGCTAAACACAGATTCCACCCCGGCAGTGTGTTGCTCTATGTCTCGTTGCAGATCCTGTGACGGGGAAAATAAGAGTTTCAGTGAAAGGCAACGTGGACGGCTCAGCTTCAGACATTCCCTCTCCAAACACTTCTTTAGCTTTAGGGAGCAGGGTGCAGAATGAGCTGTGCAGGTCACAGGACAGGGAAGTGCCACACACAGGGCGATTGTCCAGCTCTGGTTTCCCATCAAAAGCTCAATCTTTTCAACTCTGAACCATTTTACTAAATTCAAAACCCAAACCTTACACACACTGCAAACACACAGATTTGGCAGCAGCAGGTGACAGAGTTTCCTAGGACACTCTAGGATTGACCGAGCAGTCAGAGCCCGGCTCCTGCACATCAGTGCCTACCTGATCACAAGCTGCTATCACACGCAGCAGGGCACAGCACAGGGCAGGCAGTGCTGCACCACGCTACCCTTGCTGTCCTTTCTAGACCTCCTCTTTTAACAAGCTATTTTAAGGGCAAAGACCCTCTGCTAAATCTACTGCAGCTCTTTTTTCCACAGCTTGTATCTCCATCATATTCCAGTGTAACTATTGATAAAGGCAATTTAAGAAGAGAAGAAGAAAGCCTTACTTAAGTGATCCTAATTGAAAAAGCAGCTCTGTGCAATACTACCAGCTGGGAATGGTAACGAAATGACAGTGTCCGCTACATTTCATTTATTTCAACCCATTCTTGGTTTCCCTAATGAAGGATGCAGGGAATTTGCTGGAATTACACCAGAACAACAAGAAATACAAGAGAAAGTGCCTTTTACTGACAAGAGAGAACAGGAACTCTCACTGAAATAACATTACTGACTTTAGTGAACAGATAAGGAAGAATTGACTTTGCTCTAGCCTTAAAGAACACAGACACAGCTTGTAGGAAACCCCAACAGGGCTGAGGGAAGATCTTTGCAGAAATCAATAAGGTGCAAGGAGCTGAGTATCACCCACTGGCAGGCTCCAGTGGCATTTCTGCATGGACCTGAAGGAAGGGCTGAGCCATAAACAGTCAAAATTCACCTTGTGGGATTTGCAGTAGCCTGCAGCTGTAAGGGAAGTAAAAGCCCAAATCTTTACCCAGTTGAGAGGCTGCCAGAAGCAGACCCAACTGCAGTTTCACCAGCTTATTAACAATTCACAGCGTGAGGCAGCAGCGTCTTTTTAACAGGGGCTCTGCTTGGAGCGGGCTCTACCCCACTGCTGATGAAATCGCCCTGGATTTGCAGTTACGTCGGGAGGAGGAAAAAAAAAAAAAATAAAATAAACAGGAGCATCTGTTCCACGGATTAAAAAGTCACCCTCGTTTGCCCTGTGTGATCTTGCCACCCGTGTCTCATAGCTCTGGGGCCTGCCCAGGCTCACGCAAGGCCCCCAGGCAGGGCGGTCGCTGCTATCAAAGCTGCTCGTTCCCAGCACCCCAGTGGGGTCTCGGCACGAGGCGGACGCTGCGCAACAAGGAATGGGGCCGAGGGCAGACCCGGCCCCCGGGGCCTCTTCCACCCGCCCTGCGAGCGCTGCCAGCGAGTCCCAAAGCCCGCGCAACGCTGGACTGCCCCCGTGAGCAGCCTTTAGATCTGAAACAAACATTATTTCTGTTGCAGATCTTAAGCCTTTAACTGAACAAGCCGTAAACATCTCCGAATGCCTGACACTTTCCAACCGTCACTGTTCAAGATGGAACAGGTAAAACTTCTCCAGGGATGGATGCTGCACAAAACAAGCCTGCAGGGCTCTTTTCTCACAATCACTCCACGCTTGTCAAAGTAATTGTTCACATAAACCCAGGGAAGATCTCTTTACTTGTTGCATTCAGATTAGGGGTTTGCTAAAGCTCAACAAAAGAGCTTATGGTAGAAGGAGACTAGAGGTGCCCTAGGGTCTGTTGTTTGGAACAGAACCCAAGCACCAAAGCAGAGAGTAGTTCCAAGGAGCAAACGATCGCTCTGCAGCAAGCTGCAGCTTGAACGCTCATAGTAAAAATAAATTAGCTGGGACACAGCAATTCTGTGCTCCATGTCTTTGCCCAGTGGAATTTATCACAGCCTTTAATGCAAAGGGTTTGGATGTGGAGAAAATATTTGTGTGACCATTCGTGTTGTGGAGGAAACCGTTAGATGGTGAGAGTCACAGTTTGTGGCGTTTGGCCTCCTCCTGCCAAGGAGCAGGAGTGACACAGGTTATGCCACACCACCAGCAAGCCCTACAACACACAGTGTCTCAGAGAAGCTCCTTTTCCATCCCTAGCTGCTGCAGAGAGAAATCTCCTCCAGGACTGTCCTTCTCCCACACTTCTACTTGGCTGGGAGAGCTGGCAAGTTCAGCTCTGTCCCAGTCATCTGCAATCCAGGCCTTCAGG